CCCCCCCCCCCCCCCCCCCCCCCCCCCCCCCCCCCCCCCCCCCCCCCCCCCACCCCCCCCCCCCCCCCCCCCCGCCCCCCCCCCCCCCCCCCCCCCCCCCCCCCCCCCCCCCCCCCCCCCCCCCCCCCCCCCCCCCCCCCCCCCCCCCCGCCCCCCGCCCGCCGATACCGACCTCGCAGGATCCCCCGCGCCCGCCCACCACCCCTTGGAGGGGGGCAGAACTTACTGCCGATCCAGGCCACACGCGACCACCGCCGCACAGCACAGCACTCGTCGCGCTGCCCGACCGACGGCCCATCGCGTCCTTTTCTTGGCTGTCTCTCCCGAGGATATGCCGTCGCACCACCACCACCACCACCACCACCACCCACAAACCCGCGCCGCCGTGTCGCCAGCCGCGGACACCCTTCCTCATCATCACCGTCTTCTTCATCGTCCTGTCCTCACGCCTCTTCCTCCTACTCCTCTTCTTCTTCCTCTCCTCACGCTCTCCCCAAGCATCTACCCACGCGCGAGCGCGCACACACCCGCCCACCCGCCCACCTCAAAGTCTGATCGTCCTTCCGCGGCCAAACAGGTAAAGCGGTCGGATAAAAGAAGAAAAAAAGTCTAAAAATTAAAAATAAAAATAAACCGCAACGGCGCGCCGCACACCCCTGGTCACTACTACTACTAGCTACGGACTACATACGGAGCACTCCCAACCGCACTTACATAACTACTACACCGACCGCCGACACCCGCCGTCCGTCGCTGGGGCCTCGGAATCTCCTCCTCCTCCTCCTCCTCCCCTCATGATACCAAACATAAACCAAGCAGCCCGCGGCGTCGCGCCGCCCTTGGATCTCACCGATCTGCACTGGGCAACGCAATGCTGTGGGCGGGGAGGGAAGGGAGGGGGGGGGGCAACGCGGGACACAAGTGAATCCTCATGAATAAGTGTGATCCATCCTGCTGGCCTCCCTCGCCCTCTTATCTCTCTCTCTCTCTCGCTCGCTCTCCGTCTCGCCGTCCACGGTCTGTCTTCCCCTGGCCGTCTGGGACGAGCTAGACTAGCTCTTTTCTTTTCTTTTTGGTTCCAAGAGACGGGTGTATACTTTTGTCCGCCCTCCCCTTGACCAAACCGGTTGACAGCCCATACCACACCCGCCTGCCCGCGCGTTGGCTCGCCCACCTGAGACATGGTGGTGCGCAGGAGGCAGGCAGGGAAAGCAGGAATACTCCGAAGACCGGGGGGGGCATTATTGTCTTTAGCTCGGCCGTTGGGAACTGGCAGGGCCGAAGGTAAATAATAATAGTGAAAAAGAAAAAAAAAAAAGGAAGACGGACGACGACGAGCCCCGACCGCCCGACGACCCCGAGCGAGCGAAGGGGCCGCCGCTGGAATAATGAAATATGGCCTGACTTGACGGCGCAGCACGGAACCATCCCTTGGGTCGTGTTCTGGCTTGTCCGTCCTTGGGGCTGTCGAGCTGATCGGCCAACGGGCGGCGGGCGGACGGGGCTCGTCACACCAGCCTAGAACTTATCGGCTGCCCAGCGTGCGATCTGCTTCTCTTGTCATTATTATTGCCTGATATTCGTCTGGTTCCCCGACCCGATCATCGGCCGCGACGACGACGACTAACGCCGGGGCTCCGGTGGGCATCGCCGTGAGCTAACCAACTATATTACGTAGTCCTCTCTGCCCCGAAGCCAAACCACAAATCAAATATTATTATTATTACCATTCTTAAGACCCGAACCCACCCTGCCGGCGGGGCGCTCGCAGCTCATCCTCATTTCTCCTGCGGCTGATCGTGTACTCCGTAGTAGTTTTTTTTTTTTTAAGTTCGCGTTGGGGCTGGTTAGTCGCCGATATTGCGGGCGGGATCATCGCGCCCTGCCGCCTGCCGCGGTGTTCTAGGTAACTAGATAGGGCGCCCGCCGGTCTCGGTCGTCGCCGTAGTCGTAGTCGTCGTATTGCGCAATTAACAGTCCTACTACTTACGTGTGCGCCGTGCAATTCCGGCTCCTCCTCCTCCCCTTCCTGCATGCGGCGCCGTGTCGCTCGCGCGCTCGCCCGTCTCTCAAACCTGCTCATCCGCGTGCTCGGCGATGACGACACGCTGATGTAAGCAGCCACTAGCGCAGCGTGTGCCCTACGCTCGCCGTAGCCCGCGACCTCCCCACGTGACCGGGCCGCTGTGCGAAATTTCGAAAACGCCGAAAACTCGCTCTTCGCAACCGCCGCTTTGTATTATTCCTTTGCTCGTTGCTTCGATCGCCCCGCCCCAAAGTCTTGCTCTAGGCCACCGCTCTGCTCATTGCGACGCATCCCGACCCGGACCGTCTTCAACCATGGCGAATGAACAATCAGCAGGTACGCGGCCTCACACCTCTCTTCCGACCGAGCCCTTTTTTCTTCTTCTTCTTTCTTTCTTCCCACAACTATGCCCGTCTATGACCAAGCCCTGCGGAACATAAATTTTTAAAAAAAAACAAAAAAGGGACTCGTGAAAAAGACTAACATTCCATCCTCTCGGGACTTCTAGCTTGGCCTATTGCCGATGAGTCGCTCTCCACCGAACTGCTGGACCTTGTCCAGCAGGCCTCGCACTACCGCCAGCTGAAGAAAGGCGCCAACGAAGGTAACATCACACACGCACACACACATACCACACCTGACCTCCCTCCCCCCTCGTTCGTCCTTGGACTATCAACCCGCTAACGCGTACCCGCCTTCTGACCCAACAGCTACCAAGACCCTCAACCGCGGCACGTCCGAGCTCATCGTGCTGGCCGCCGACACCACGCCGCTAGCCATCCTACTGCATCTGCCGTTGCTCTGCGAGGACAAGAACACGCCTTACGTCTACGTCCCCAGCAAAGGTACGTAGTTTCTTCTTGACCTACAACAGCTGCCTCTAATTATATCTGTCTTTTTTTTTTTTTTTTATAGTGGCCTTGGGACGCGCGTGCGGCGTCAGCCGCGCCGTCATCGCCGCCAGCATCACGACCAACGAGGCCAGCGACCTGACTGCGCAGATCCGCAATATCAAGCAGAAGGTTGAGAGGCTGATGATTTGATTTGATTCCGAGAGCCGTGTTACGGCGAGGAATTGTGTAGGGTTGTGTTGTTTGTTAGGCTTTGATTGATTAATAATGGTTTCCCCGCAAGAAACGTTCTGCTGGGGAGACAGCAACAAAGGGAGTTTTTTGCTTCTTTTTCTTTGAAAAAAAAAACTGCAATGATGCTGAGAATCGATAACTCGTCGGCGTTAATAAAGGGGGAACTGACTCTTTTAACTCAAAATGGATGGGGTTCTGGGATAAGACTCTCTATGTGGAATACAAACAAAATCAAATCTAGCGAGTATCTTTGTTAAATTTGATATCACTCGAAAAAAGACCCTGACCTTTGTCACACATATCTCCGTCAACGGTTACTCACACCGTTGGCGGCCTTCTCACCACCATTGTCTCCCTTGTCTACTACCGGAAGCTACTAATACTATACTTTGGAAAATAACAAGATAAGCAAAAAGTGTTATGTATTGTTCAAGCCCTTTATGAATATGCAAGTACCTTGCTATGGTAAGTATGTGAATCGAAATATGTCCTCATCAAAGCCCCTATGTCACGCAAAGGTCAAAGCCCTCCTCGGGCCAGCGGCAAATATGTATGTGTATGTGTATGTGTGCGCGTAGCTCAAGAAAGGGAAAAAAAAATGCTCAAACATGTACAAGTTGCAGACCCGAAAAGAGAAAAACAAAACGAGAGATGGATCGCAAAAAACACAAAGCACGCTGGGACCCAGTGGGATGCGGATTGCAAAATAGCAACCATGTGTTCAAAGACAAAAAGATGGGGGGCGCTGCTTTGTTCAAGGTGGTAAGAACGATGCAAGATGGTGTATACCTTGCTCTGGGTAATATGCAGAGATGATGCAGAGGCGAGCTCTAGATCGAAAAAAAGATTAAGCATTTGCATTAGAATTTGTTAAAATGGGGGCGTTGCTGCCCGGGGTGTGGGTAGTGGAGGAAGAAGAGGAAAAAATGGTTCCCGCCATAGGCCAAAACGACATTGGGGTATCAGGTCGCACCGTAAGAAGAAAAAGGTTGGAAAAAAGAGAGAGCAAGGAATCGGGAAATTGATCGCTCGCTATGGGATCGGTCCATGCTAAAAGTCATGTTTCAAGCTGTCCATGAGAGATGTAAAAAAGAAAAATGGATATTTGAGGGTATCAATTATGTTTAGGGGTGGGTATATGTGCGGTGGTTAGTTATTAACAGATTTCTTCGATCTCCATCAGCCATTTACGGATCCCTTCTCGCAGGGTATTATCCGCAACGATGCCGATACCTTTCCTAGAAGGCCGGCCACCGGGGCTCTTGATGTCCGAGCCATCAATCTTGGCCATCGAATCTTCGCGCCGACGTTCTGCCGCGACGCTTCGAACCACCTCTTCGAGTGCGCCAAGCACCATCCGCCGACACTCGTTTCGCGGCACTTCGAAGGATGGGTGGTCAGCCGTGCCGCTGAAGGTCATGGTGGTCATGCTGTCCACAGGCTGGCGATCGCCAAGCTGGCTGGGTCCGGGTCTTCCCCTGCGACCACGGCTGGGAGATGCGTTTCGGGAGTGATTGACGGAGGGCGGCCCGGACCGCGCGAGTACGCGCTCAACGGCGTCAACAAGGGTGCCATCAAGGTCCATGACGGGTTCTTCGATGAACTCTTCTTCGACGAAGCGGAATTCAACAGCGGTTGATGAGGTCAAATTGAAAGTTGAAAGGGAGGCCTTACGCTCGCCTAGGGGCAGCATGGCTGCGGAAGATAGTCCCATATGAGGCCTGGCGCTGGCGATTTTTCGGCGTAAGCGGAGTCGTTTGACGGTAGAAGAGGTGGTGTCTGCGATTAGTGTCGAACAGACCTCTACCCACTGCTCAGACGAGCCAGAGGCATCGATTGGAGCTAGAGTGGCCATAATGTGGTTGGGTGTTGGCTCAGCGGACATAGAGCGTCTAATATCGGCTTCTAGGCTGGGATATGGCCGGACTGCTTGAAGTACAAAATCCTCATGGTACCGTTTAAGCCATCCTGCAACGTTGGAGTTGAGCTTCTCGTGGTCTTTTTGTCCATTTGAAAAAAGGCTATCATTCACAGGTGGAGGTCCAATATCAAGACTGGTTATTGAGTCGCGAAATTTGCGCGGAGAATGTATGGCTGAATCGTTGGAGGACGATAAGGATAGAAAGCCTGGCAGAGGTAACTCAACATCCACAACACCATCGTTGGCCTCAACAAAAAGTTTCACTGGAGATGCTGGCGATGATTCCTCGGTGTCTTGCGGCTGAACATTTCCTTCTGACGCATCGTTGGCTGCATCGGAGCCAGATACATTAGCTGGGATGTCGCTATCATTCAGCTGACCACCTTTTCGGATGCTGTCAAATTCTCCACTTGATTTTCCAAACACCGAAACGGGAGATTCACGATTAGAGAAAGATGGCGATGAAGGGTTCATTGCCTGCCGAGAGGAGAGGTTATCGGCTTTATCAGTCAATGATGTTTCCCGCGAAGTCCAGAAACCGGATAGTAAACTTCCCCACTTGCTACCAGCTGGATAATCGCTACCCGCAGAACCCGGATTGCTTTCGTTTCGTCGAAGAGTTTGCATGAGGTTTGCGGACGCTGCACTGACGCTACTTGCCTGGGCACCTGGAGGAACTCTAGCCTGGGAAGGCCGTTGAGAAGCAAAATGGGGTATAGGCGTAGCTGTTCCAGGTAGGGCGGGGGCGGCAATCGCGGTGCTACTCTTGCGAACGCGCATGCCGTTGGAAGGGATCGGAAGGCTGGCGGTTTTGACAGATCGAGCATCGGAGTCTTGGCGCCCTTGCTGAGCGGGAGCAGTCATGAACTCAAAGTCGTCAGGGATGACATTCATGGTCTCGTTAGAGGAAACACTCGCAGATCTCTTGAAGCTAGAGTTCTCGTCAACGAAATTACGTGTTCGAGCACGCCTATTAAGCGATCGACGAAGGGATTCTCGCCGAAAGAATTGAGGATTCGGTGGGCTCTGCGACATTTGACGTAAGGAGGTAGATGTGCTGGGGCGGAAGGGGGATGTCAAGGTATCCGAACGTTGCTGGGACGGCAGAAATGTAGCGAGCACAAAGATCAACCGCCTCGCTGTCATCTTACAGGGTGATATTATAACCGTCCTATTAGGAATACTCAGTTCGATATCTTGCTGAACCCTTTGCTGTAAGATATGTCGACGTTTATGCCATTCTGGGCCCAGTGAGCCAAGCCAATCGGTGTGGTTCCCGAGAAAAGCCGTAATCAAGACCAAAAAGAAGAAGTTGTGTTCCCTCTCGCAAAGAAATTTGGAAATCCAGCGAGCTTCATCTCTCCAGACACCCCAGCGACTCTGTCCTGTTATGACGCGAGGTATTTTCAGTCCCAACGCGACTCTATGTATGGCGTGCAATGTTTCCTTCTGGAGAATCGTGTTGGGAGCGAGACAGTTGAGGGGCAAGTAAATGATTGTTTGATTTGTCCGCTGCATGCTCGGTGGTTGTTTGACAGGTTTGGGTTGTTGAACAGCATACAAATCAACTTCCTTCAGCAGCGAAACAATTTCTTTACTTGCCACCTTTTCTAGGTGAGATAGAGTGCGCGTTATGATATCCCAGTAGTCAACAAGCGTGTCGATCCTTTCGTCCAAGTTGGAAGTAGAAGACAGATGTGTAGCATTATCGTTAAAAGCCGCGTTCATCCGTCGGTCCGAATCCAAAGACGTTGACATTATGACAGGAGGTCTGAGCATGTCTGGACCACATGGACTGTACTGGTAGGATTGTTGACCGTGAGTTCGGGCTGTTACTGGCAACTGTATAGCAATGGCAACCGCATACATAGGTGTTTTCTTTTCCTTGATTTTCTTTTTCTTAGCAGTAGGCTGAACGGTATCAGTACCAAAGAAGAGCTTTGCGAAGGGTGAGGGCTGCTGCTCGGAAACATCGGTAGGCGCGGTTTGGTGTTCGGGCAGATTAACGCTAAACATTCGAGTGACCAGGACAGTTATTTTCGCAGGAAGCGGCCGTTGCTGTACGGTGTTGTACGTTATGTTTCGAGGCTTCGACTGAGCACTAAATGTTTCAGCTCGTCGGTGGTGAGAGTGGCATGCACGGGCATTTCGACTCCCAACCTCATAGGGTAGCTCTCCATCATTTGGAACAATGTGCATCTTGGTGGATGATCCACGATAGCTGAAAGCACTGCTGCCGAAAATACAATTAAGCAGACCAGAGTCGCTGGTGTCACCGGATATACGGCCGTGGGGGTGATCGCTGTCTCTAATTGTGGCGGAGAATGTTGATCGTCGGTTTCGCGCGCGTAGGAAAGCGCTCATATTAGGGGTATCGCGCACTTTGGAATCTATAAGAGGTGAAACTGGATTGAGCTCGGGAGCCATCGAGATTGAGCTTTGTACGCCATCTCTTCGTAGCGCTTGGGACGAGCTTATTGCTCTTGAGTGTCTCGCGCGAGGTAATTCCACTAAATGTGATGCTGAGGCAGAGCGTGAAGGCTTTTCGGTGCCCGAAAAGTTCTTAGTGTCGAGAAGTATGCATGGCTCGTCACGATCGCCCATCGCATTTTGAGCGATAATTATTCGAAAATCCTTCACCTGTTCAAGTCCTACACCATCATTATCATCAAAACTGCTCGTACCGGTTGTATTTGAAGGTGCGGTGCTTGTCTGTAGAGGGTAGGTGTGAGGTTGGGTACGATGCAGAATGTTGAGGTCAGGGAACAGGAGGCCAGAGGTGTGTTCTTCTTCTGTCACAGATTCCAGTTGCGCAGGGGTACGGGGAGAGTTGGGATTAGCGTTAAAGGCTGAAGCTGCTGTATTCAAGAGCCTTCCCAACATCCTGAAAGCTTGGTCGGTCAACAGTAGAAGCTGTGAGGGGAGAATAACAATGCGCGATGCAGAGAAGGAAGGTTTGTGAGTTCATGTAAATGAAGAAAACCCATTGTCCGTGCAAATCAAATAACGTCACTGTTGAGATGCCCTTGCGAGTGAGTTTCTATCTAATGAGTAGATATGCATGTTATCATCCTGGTCATATCCAAGCACAAAGCCATTGTGACGGGTCATCAAGCAGGTAAAACAAGGAGTTAAAGTATGGGGTAGAAAGAGTGGAGATGGTACAACATGAGGATACACACAGCGACCACAAGCCACACCAACCCGAACACCCAGGGGACACTCGAATTGGAGAGGCGGCGTGGAGGAGGGGAGAAAACGAAGGTCGCTGTTGGCGGTGATTGCCAGCCAAAAAGCGGTGAGGCAAGCGAAATGCGAAATGCGAGCCTCATTGTTAGGTAAGCGGCGTGCACGGATCAGCCTGGCTAGCGTGCCGGGCCACTGGACCTCGGCCGGCACACACGTGATGTGCACGACAGCCCAGGCCGGAATCCCAGATCTTCTCACTGCCATCGGGATACCGATTTTCCGAGCTGTCACAAAACACCGCTTCATGCAGTTAGAATATGGAGTGCCAATATCCAATCAATATACTCATTTTATGGAGAGGTACGGGGTAGTTTCAACATCTTGTGCCGTGCTGTACCCCAGACCACGTGACGGATCGTCCGTCGAAACAGAAATTGTGGTCTGACGTATCTTGACAGACCAAGCGGTCGACGGGAACGAGCCATCGTTTGACCATACGGTCCTGCGTGACGGGTTCTGTCACTGACTGGAAATGTTGGTTCTGTGAGTTGGGTCTAATCTAAGTTTATCTTCATCGTGTCGATATTATACCTCTGGGCCCCCCACCATAGATCAGGTTCCAGAACAACATGTCGCTTTATATTTCAAAATCGGAGATGTTGAATCCCACTAATTTCTATTCTATATTTACATAGTCGATAACTTAAAGAGGTGACTACCAGATCAATTCACTCATGTCTCCACCTTCTTCCCCTTCACATTCATTTTGATCTGTTCTCCCGGATCCATTCTGAATAAGTACCAATATTAACAAATATGCCGCCTGTATTCTCCCCACATTTCCCAAGATTACCACGTACAACACCTATCACAACGCGCGATCCATGACGAAATTCTGGGCTTCCACTGTCTCCTTTGCAGGTGGATGATCTTTCGGAGTCCATACAAAAGTATGTTCGAGGAATTTCTGGTTGTGTCAGGCAATCTTCTTCGTTGACAGTGAGTTGGGCAAACCACAGTCTGGTAGGTCTTTTTTTGCTTTCAACCACACCCCTATTGACTGATTGTTAGTTCCATGAAGAGTGATACTCAGAGCTGATAGATGAGTATGAATATGGATACATACCAGCCTGCAACCAAACCAACTTCACCAATTTCGGGAGTGGATCCTTGAGCTGGTAACTCGGCATGATCAATATCATGCCCGTCTTGTTTGCCTTTTGGAAAGGATTGTTCCAGATGCAAAACTGCCAAATCAACTCTTTCCTGAGGATGGGGACAACCTTAGCAATTCCAGACTTAAGCCCAGCAAAAGAAAACTACAATACAGTCAGAATATGCCTCATGTTCAATAGTGAACACTTACTAAAGCTGCAACATGGGCTATGTCTGGGATTAGACCTCCAGTGACGCAGTGCTTTGCTGTGACAACAGTCTTATCATCTATCAGAACTCCTCCACAGACATGGGCGGTGCCCCTAGCCAAGGAAACCATGGAAGGAAATTGACCCCCCTCAGCCTCCCATCCATTAGCAATTCGAGGAAAGTTGCTGTGTTCTGTTGTTGGTGCTGATAGAACTGGAGCGACCAGGAAAACAAGAACTGGGAGTAATCTGATCATGATGTTTAAACTGTACTCAGTACAAAAGATGAATGATGCTCTGTCACCATTGCTAGATCTGAAGGGATATTGCAGCTTTTATATCTTTAGTTTCAAAGCGGTAGTCTTTGTGGATATTTCTCAGTCGACTATCGGACAAAGATCACAAATTTGATGCCATGCAGTTGCATCCTTCTCTATACTAATAATAAGACTGAGAAACACAAGCCCTTATTTCCACAAGATTAAGAAAACAAGCAAGGAACATTCAGCTTTCAATGAGCAAGTGGGTGCATAATGCTCAGCCAAGTGAATTGAATTATGATTTAGAAGAATCCTATTATTCCGAGTCTCTTTTGCAGGATCTTGAACTACTGAAATCATCAACGTACTTCACATATCCAACGTCCGGGGAGCCTCATCCATGCAAGACACTCAATCACACCGCATTTCGATCATCAATCAAACACTTACAGGCAGATGTGTTGCTGTGCAGAGGGGGTAGCAATCTAGGTAAAGCGACATCTTGATGGCCCTGGTGTATTTAACTATATCCACGGGGAGGGATAGTGGTTCTGTTCAGAACTGAGTGGAAAGGGTAGAAACTTTCTATCGGCAATACTCCACAAAAGGAGTTTCCATGTGGCGAGGGGATTGAGTTTTCTCGCTCAAGGGTCTAGACCACTTGCGGGTGAAATCCACTACGCACCTCAATGCCCTCAATGTCCGGGACGCGAGTATCGTATGTTATAGTATTGGAGGCAATTGGACACCTGGCAGAATGTCTATTGTACCCTGCCCATCTGTGTCGTTCTCGGCCCAGATCCTCTGGGAATGATGGATTGACCCAGATACGCACGTCCAATTGGCGACAGTTGGGTGGCCTGCGCCGACGAAGATGAGCCTTGTGCTGGCTGCTCAAGTACTTTCTCGATGTAGTACTCTGTACCATCTTGCCCATTTCAATGAAAGGCATCCCAATTGCAGACAGACCATATTGCGGGCCACCCTATAGTAACCCAATCATGGCATTTTTTCTGGTGTTGCCACCTGTATTAGCCACTGTTTACACAATATGTTCAAACCTAGCATGCTGTAGTCGAGCACCACTTAGCGTCCTGTACTCCATACTCCGTACGGAGAGACGGTCCGGGCCGATCTCTTGGCGCCAAGGACCTGGCATCGTGGCTTCCGAGTCAGTTACGGAGTACTCCGTACTTTGAAAATGTTAAGCGTCCATCCATGCAACAGGTCTGACTCTGCCTTCCATTATTTAACGTTTGCATCTCATCATTGAAGGATTATATACACTTGTTCTAATTAGAAGAGTATCAATACGTTCAGGACAACTTACGGAGACAGATGCTGTCAGACAGCATTCCAACCAAGTGTGAACGATAGGCTCAGACCTTCCACTGAATGCAGGTGTGGAAGAAGTTACTCATAGGGGTCAAGCACAAACCACTATAACTACCTGCTTACTACCTTATGCTGACTATGTACCTTGGGCCTAGCCCATTTCCTCCACCTCCAAGAGAGGGGGTTAGGAGGCAAGCAACCTCCATACACCCAAATTCGACTACAACTCAACCGCGCGCACCTTGGGATATTGATCACTATCAAAGCTCAACTAGTTATCCGGGACCTTTCACGCTCTAGCCAACACCCGGCCGCAGAAGTTCTATTACAATGATAGCGCGTGGAATGAAAAAGTATATTACCACCCGCAGAATGCTACTGACTTCCTGAATAGCGACACCGACGGAGAAGTTTTTCCAGGCTGTTTGATAAGGTTTGGATCTTTTCCTGCAATGTTGTATATTTCCATACTCTCATTCAAAAGTACGGCTATCTGTGAGCAAGAGAAAATTTCGCTTGTTAAAGTGGCCAACAAGCAATGCTGCAATACATTCACTGAACCACCTTCCCCCCGCTCCCCCGGGGAAAAAAGCTTAACCTGAAGTACGATTACTACCAGCTTCATATACCTGGATGATATGTCATTTAGTGCGCTGTTTCTACAGCACTCACACTCTTCTTCTTTACCTTACCAAGGCGCCTATTGCACAGCGCACTGCATTCTTTCTACCTCTCATTTCCCAATTGATTTCGATAACCATATTTTTTCAAGTAGTCTTAAAGTGAAGCCGTAATCACCTTGCCGCCGAAGATTACATTTTCTCTTTCGCTTCATTTCTCACGATCATACTAGCTGAAACCCAACCTCTTCAATTGTCAATCCTCATTTTACACTGTGTGAGGGAAAAGGGAAACTTATTATTATCTTATAGCACCCTCCGGCTTTTTTTTTTGTCGCAATCCCTGCTCACTTTCCACTCACTCTGAGAAGTACCAAACTAGCCCACTGGCTGCCTTACACTGAGATCTATACATCCTCATTTCACTCGCAGTGCAGCACGATTTTTTATTACTTCCTCAATATCTAACCCCTACCTAGTTTTCATCGCCTATAAATACCCTCATTCAAAGGTGACATCTGAAGCAGCCATCTTTGTATCTTAACACTCCGTATTGTGGTTTGGCCGGTACTATACTTGTGCTTTCTTCGCCTTTCTTTCAAGAATCTGCAACCAGCCCCAATTACCGGGCTTCTATTTTGTTAGCAATGTTGAACTATGAACCACTTCCGGACTTGGGAGACACCAAGCCCACTGACATGGATAATTCTTTGCTTTCGGACTGGGATTTTATGTCACATTGTGAAGAGATGGCTCTGACCGAAGCACTCGCAAATCCTGAAACAAGTCAAGAAACTGGTCCACCAGGAATCAATTCCACTGAAAATGGGGTGCTCTATGACAGTGTGCAAGAAACTATTGCGCAAGCCCGCGAGAGACTTCAAGAAAGAATGGGTGCTGTTGCTCCCCATCAAACCGCCGATTCTAGCAGCATAGGTCAAGCAGTTGGCATAAATGAGGATGCTGACCGCTCTTTGGACTTTGATACCGAATTCTCTCCGGGCCCTCCCGAGACCGGCGAAATGTATGTATACCGCGAACCTTCTAGGGCTATGGGCATCTGAACGTTTTTTAGGTTCGAACAATTCAGATCAGATTTCGAGGCAAAGGCGAACCCTACTTTGGAGGAGGAGATTTTGTTTCAGAAGGCGCAAAATAAGGAGTCCCGGCGGCTCAATCGGCAGAGGAACCAGACGGATAGCCAGGAAGAGAAGCCCGCATATACCGAACCAGCTTTCGCTGATTTGAATTCACTCCCTGTGCTGGGTTCAATGGAAGATCAATACCAGCTGTTCTGCTCTGACGACGATCGCAAAAATTCCACTCCGGGTCAGACTGATGATAATATCCCCCAAAATATAACTAGGAACCGAAAAGCCGCAGGTAGAAAGCCAAACCCTCAAAATAAAATCGCCTCCAAAGACAAACGGCGCTACGCAGCTTCTGGGTTTGATGCATTTCAAGAGAGTCATAACAAGAAGGTAAGATACTACGAATTCGCTTTGCCTAGTGTCACTAATCATTCGAGGAAACCAAAGGGTAAGGGCGCTGTCCGGAAGCGCGTCGCTAGACCCTCCAAAGGCAATCAAAAGATATCAAATAAGGTGAAGCAGCAGAGGAGGCGCCAAGCTATGAATATGAATTTTGAGAGCCTTTTCTCTGCAAATGTGATCCAAAGCGCAAAAGCAAATATATCCAAACAGGAAATCCCAAAGTTTTCTGCGAAGGCCAAAGATAAAGCTCTGAAGGAGCTTATTGCAAATGTTCCCCATGCGGACCCTGCAGTCATCAGAACAGATAGGCAAGAAATCATGTCTGCCATTGTTAAATTTACCAAACGACCTAAGGCAGATGGAAAAGGTAGCTGGTTGCATCCAGACATGAAGACCAGTCTATTTCATTACCAGGTAACGCCGCCCCCTATAACTACAAAAATTGGAATATTGAAAATCTAATTAGCTAAAAGTTGATAGGTGTTGGTTTTATGGTATTTAGCTCTTTTCCAATAATATAAATTATATCGACTGCTGATTTAAGAAAAGCGCGACCGTGAAAATTCCTCTGTTGCGCCGTTTGGTGGTTTTCTCTGTGACGAAATGGGATTTGGCAAGACAATACAGGCTATTGGTATGATGTTTTTAGCATATATATATATCTCTCTCACTAACAATATGAAGCAACCATGGTGGATGGCCAACCAAGCCCAGAAGATGCCTCAAAGATCACATTAATTGTCGTTCCACCCCATCTAGTCGATCATTGGTGGGTTTTAAGAGTTAAAGCCAATGTTGCTGATCTAACTACATGTACGGAGTATAGGATGTCCCAATTAAAAGAACACTGTAAACCTCATGTCTTAGGGGCCATTCTTCGTCACCACGCAGCAGAAAAGATTTCCGAAGATGTTTTCACTTATTGTCTGGGTGGCACTGGTGTTATGTATGCTTAATCTCAAGGTAATTTTCTTTGACTAAGTTACTAGGCTAACCATCACAGACTCACTACCTATACCGAAGTGCGCAAATCATACCCAGAATTTGAAATATCCCCAGAAATAGTCAAGGACAGTGAAAAGCAAACTGCATGGAGGAACCAATTTTACAACAACTGTGGAATTATCCATCGAATCAATTTTCACAGAATTATCCTAGACGGTGAGAGTCGGTCATATTAGCATTTACCTAATTCTTATTTCCACTCTTCAGAAGCCCACGAGATCAAGAATCATTTGTCTAAAACCAGCATGGCGGTACGCATGTTGTCTGGACAGCGCCGCTGGGTTATTACCGGAACACCAATTCATAAGTGAGTTTTCTGAATGATGACGACGTTAAACACCGTCGAGTTTAAATCGTTGATCAAAATGCATATACTGTAGTAATCCCTTGGAATTTTTCCCCTACTTTGAATTCCTTCGGATCCCGCAGACTGGCAACTTCCACCGATTTTGCAGAAATTACTATCCGGTAAAATCTCTCTCTATCCCGAACCTTTGAATTTACCTGATCATACTCTTTCAGGACGGCACAGCAAATCATGGAAGACTTGCTAGTCTCTTGCGAGCGTATATGTTGCGCCGGACACATGAAGAAACCCTTTTTGGCCTCCCAATTTTGAAACTTCCAGACGTGGATGAGTGCACTATTACAATACAGTTCAGTAAAATAGAAAGGCTTATATACGAGGAAATCGCAAGGTTTCTCGTCAACCAATACATGTGTGAGTGTAAATGAAATTTTCCAATACTAATTTTTGCTGACAATATCAGGCATGGATGAGGAGAGTGGAAAATATACGGGAAAATGGGTGCTACTTCAAAAGCTTCGCATGTATACAAGTCACTTGCTTCTAGCCCACAGCATGCTGAAAGACATTCTGACTGATACAATGATGGAGAACTTGCGTTTATCTGTTGGATCTGATGCTACGGCAACCGATGTTGAGATTTTTAACCTCCTCAATTGGATTACAAAGGCCAAGGCTCTTCCCTCTGTCGACGAGGCAATGGAGGCGAAATTTATAGCATCATCTCTACCCCGCTGCACTGCAGAGATAGTCCAAACCTTCGGAGACTTTTTGAATTCTTCAAGCTCAGACTCTGGCTTGCATATGTGTAAGAAATGCAAATCTTCTCCGTATATGGCGTACATTATGCCCTGCATGCACATTTATTGCAAGGCCTGCTTCCCGCTTTTACCGAAATATGAATACGCAGCACATTGTGTGTGCGGCGAAAGAGCCCAGGACGTTGCTTTCTGCCCTGCCATTCCCAGCCTCTACAAGGTCTTTGATCGCAAGAAAACGGCATATTTGAGCCATATTGGACCCTCGCTGGTGCCCACTATTCCTGTTGACAACTGGGTAACTGCTGCCGGCCATCTGATGCCCAGTGCCAAACTCACTGCAATACATTCCTGCGTAGCTGCATGGATTAATGGCTCTCCGGACACGAAAATTGTGATATTCACCCAATTTCTAGGTATGGTTACTATTCTTTCGGAGATGTGTTTCAAAGAAGGGTGGGGGTTTGCAACGGTACTGTCAATCCAAATCTATTAATAATGTCAGGCTCATCTAATGAACTGTCAGATCACTGGAAGCACCCCGGCTTCTGAAAGGCATCGAGACATTGAAGATTTTCGGAATGACCCCTCTGTTCGTGTTGTAATCTCATCACTCAAAGCAGGAGGGACAGGCTTAAGCCTTACAATGGCGCATAAATGTATTCTTGTTGATTTATGGTGGAATGAAGCCATTGAACAACAGGTAATTACATCCATATCATGCACTCACATGCATGAACTCGGCGACTGACAACATATGGTTTTTAAAGGCGTTTTGTCGCCTTTTCAGATACGGCCAGAAAAAAGATGTGGAGATAGTCAGAATTACGGTCGAGAACAGCATCGATGACCGTATTCAACTCATCCAGAAATTTAAGACGACTAATATTGAAAAAACAATGGGTGCAGATGTCCTTGCATTTAGGTGAGCTTCACAGTTCAATAGCTTATTTTGAAGCCCTTCTGCTGACTTCTTGACTTGAAGGGATACACTCGAAGATATTTTGAAGATTTTTGGAGTCTCTCCGGATACAGATTCCAAAGACAGTTTTGTCTGTATTCCATAAAATAACTACTAGCACTTAAGCCTCCTCTGCGTGGTGTATCTCTTTTATCTTTTTTACCGAATAGGTCAATGACAAAAAATGGAATAGAGCCACAATAAAAGGCATGGTATCATGAACTTCGAATTTATATCATGATGCTGGTCAGGGCTGGCATGACTGCTCTAGTATTTCTGTAAATGAGAATTATATTGTAGACAAACACCACGCTCCGACGCCCATTTAAACCCCCTCTTCTTACACCATCTACATCTCAGAGTGAAAGATAAAAAACAGAGAACGGCTCTAACGCCAGTAGAGAAAGACGTAGCCGTTTAGTTCGCCAATTTTTGGAAAAAGGAAGTTAAACAAAATTGAGACACTACATTTCTTCAACGGCACAATTTGGGTGTAAGACGTAAACCACCCGCTGCAGAGAGGTACTTTGGGTATCATCACTCGCATCAACAAGACCTTCTCCCCGGATGGGCATAAGGATATTATCCTAAGATAAATATGTCAGCTAAACAGACAGAATAGGTAGATTGGCAACGAATATTCATACGAACCTTTACTATCCGTTTGAGAACCTTGGTCACTAGCAACCTTTCATGCTCAATATCTTCTTCACTATTGAGTTCAGACTCAATCTGTTCTAAGTACCAAACTTTCAAATCCTCTTCCTCCACCCCGTTGCCAGAGTTCGCTTCGTCATCGTTGACCCGTCGAACTAAGATATTAAGAATCTTCATATACTTCTCATACGTAATCTTTGTCTTCTGGGGCTGTCCATTTTGAGCAGCGCCGTTGGCATTAGCGGCATCATTTTCGCCAGTACCCATTGCAGTATCTCCTTCATTGTCACGTTGTTCTTCATCGACACCATTCATTTCGTGGTCCACGTTTCCGCCCGTCGCTTCATCATCAACTTCAACATCATCCTTCTCGACAGTAACAATACTCTGCCGGAGAAGGTTATACGCCTCTAGTACAAAACTAGGAACCACTTCTTCGACGCAATTCGCTTTGGCAACAGCTTCTGACAGACGAATCAAACTCTCTAGCTGACGAACAGTGATTCGGTAGCTACTTCGTCCGATGCCACCTTGGGCATCATCACTGCGAAGCTCTTTATATTTTTCCACCACTAATTCCTTAGCTTCAGGGGTGAAGACAGGTCTGAATGTTCGTGCAAATCTAATATAACTCTGCAACAATTCTGTGGGAATTTCCGGCTCCACGGCTTCGTCTCGGTTCATATGCACGTTGACAATGTGATCCGCTAAATTTCTATCCACAGCTTCGTTGGGATCGTCACGAATAACAAAGAAAAGATCGAATCTGCTCATAATAGGGGCACTGAAGTTGAGATTGGCTCGAAGGGTAGCTTTTGGATTATATCTCCCACCCACAGGGTTGGCAGCAGCGAGGATACTCGCACGGGCGTTGAGCGTAGTGTGAATGCCTGCTTTTGCTATGGAAATCGTCTGCTGTTCCATAGCTTCGTGAATGGCGACCTGGTCACTGATGTCCATCTTGTCAAATTCATCGATAGCACAAATACCTCCACCATTCTGATAGAATACCCTTAGTTAAATAGAACAACATAATAACTGGGAATTTGACGTACTGCAAGCATCAAAGCACCGGCTTCAATCGTGAATTCGCCCGTTTCCGGGTCCTTCACCACTGAAGCAGTCAAACCCGCAGCAGAAGACGCTTTACCACTAGTGTATACCGCGCGAGGGTGGAGAGAGCAAATGTACCTGAACTAAGGTAAGTCATATAGTTTGCCAAAGGTTTATTCCTAACTCACTTTAGAAACTGGCTTTTGCTTGTCGAAGGGTCGCCTACAATACAAACATTTATATCACCGCGGAGTTGCATTCCTTCTGCAACCGTTTTCTTTGTCACACCACCCACCAATTGCAGGAGGAGTCCTTTCTTAATCGACTGGTGGCCGTAGATCATAGGCGCAATAGAATCTACCAGTTTAGCAAAAATATGTTCCGTATGCACGAGCATCCTTAGATCTTCAACTTCTTTAGGTGTAAGAGTCTGGAGGAGACGCTCTTGAGCCATATCTTCAATTTCTTCAGGGAGCTCCACCTGGTTCAAAGAGGCGAGGATGTTCCGAGAATCACCAGTAAGGTTCTGACTTGTGGATTGACCAGGAGTCGTCAAATCCGGTGTTACCATACACGCCAGAAATGCTAGGCGATACGTGAGATCACGGACCCCCAAAGACTTGAGGCCAGTCACTCCACCTCCCATGTCGCCACCCCTTGAATTGCCATAGTCTCTCGACGCTTCCGGACGCACTCCAGGAAGTCCTAGCTGGGTGACGTCTGGAATGACGATCAGTGTGCCTGTGAAAATACACCGCTCGCCGGCCTTTGCACGGTCCACCATTTCTCCACGCAGAATCACATCCATGGTACGTGGCATACTGCCCGTGGGGATTTCGTGAGAGGATTCTTGTAGCTTAACCTTCTGCCAGTCAACGAACGTGCTTCGGCGAATATCTAGGCGCCAGCCAATACGGTTGCCACATGTGGGGTTCGGGCACAGCGCTGGTTCAGTATATTTGAAGCTTTGTTCGATATCAGGACATAGCATATTGCAGCTTTCACAATTGAATGTTCCCATTGCAAGTTCCGGACGGACTTCTGATGTCCTTGTGACAGTTCCAGATATTGAAAGTAATTTTCCAATCTGCAGTGTGCGTAGCTGGCGCAGTCTGGAGACGAGGGGAAGATTGTAAAATGCCAAAGAAAACACTTTGTCTGTTTGCTGGTATCGCGTCTTTTCGGAAAGAGGGTCTGGTTCCGTACTGTCTACGGCCATTGCTGATGTGCTGGCTTGGGACGAATGGCTTGCAAGTTGCCGATGTTCTCTGAAGTATTGTGGTTCGTATTTCGCAATCAAATTATGCAAGGATTTGGTTAGGTACGGTTGGAAACGATAATACTGATTCGCAATAGCATCCGCTAGAACTTGGTTGGAGGTCAAGTGCGTGAAATCAACATAGAGTGTTGACAACTGTAGCTTCGCCATTCCGTGTATCTGGGAAACGTAGTACTTGTCGCTCAGCATCTCGGAAGACGGAGGAGCGCCGAAGGTCGTAGGATCCTCCATGTGTGTCTCCAGTAGCTCCTCAAATGCTTGTTGCACCTTTTCTCCAGCAACGTCACGGAAGGTCGGCGGGCCTCTACCATACATTGGATGGCGGGGTCGCCGGGGCATCGACTCCGGGATTTGGTCATCCGCAAATTCAGGTGCTTCGCTCATTTGCCCATTGCTTTCGGAAGGGATGTTGGGCCGCGAGCTTGGGGGAGGGAGATCGGACTGCGGCATTCCTCGTCTGGCTGCCCCTGGGCCGGGAGGGCCGCTGAGGATGGTATCTAGCAGACTCGACATGAGGTCTCTGAAAGAAGAAAACACAGTAAAGAAGATCAAACGATAGAATGAACGGCTGAAAGATCGAAAGGCACCCCCACTGTTAAGCCTACTTCAGAACATAAAACTTCAGGTGATCGAGGAAGACGCGACGCGACCCGCCGGATCATCAAAGCCCCGCCACCGACGCGTAAAGTGGATTTCGGAGCGGGTAAACATTTACTCCGGGCAACGGCTAGCCCCACAAGCGGTGCTATATCGGGGGGACGATGGCAGATCGGTACCGTGCGGGTCGATTAATAATGATTGCGAAAAGAATCGAGATTCTGACGGGTCTCAAGAATCAACAACTAAATTTAGCCCTCGCTTGGAAAATGGGAATACATCCTCAGCATGTCTCTCACAAAAACACAGCTTCCTGGGCGTTGACTACCGGCGTATCTGAACGTTGGGATCCTTCCCTGAGACCCGCATACTACCGTTTGTTTGGACAGGCAGATCTCGGGGACGTCCACGCCTCCGACGGCCATCTTGGTATTCTCCTACAGACGTGAGTGTCCGAAGCCCTGCTCCGATTTTGATTTTTGCGAATGTACCTACATGCTTGCAATGTCGACCGACCCAGCTGTTTCGAGAACCGCCTTTCTAAGCAACATCTGCTCTTACCCCTCCAGTTCCACTTTTTCACCCCAACCCGCTCTTTCGCCGGATTTTCTCTCAGCCAGATTAATAACCAGCGTTAGACTATAGTTGAAGCGTCCTATCGTGATACGATGCCGCATCAACCGCCCGTCGAAACGGCGGTTTCGGCGCCTGGCAAAGTGCTTCTGACTGGAGGCTATCTGGTTCTCGACCGGAAATACAATGGCACGGTATTGGCTCTCGACGCACGAATCCATGTTATTGTACAACAATTGCCTATGGGACGGTCGAGCAGGGGCGCAAGGTTCAACGCAGGTACGTCGGAGAATGCGGTTGGGAATGCCTCTGCAGACGGGGACACTACTATGGGTGGAAACGCCAAAGCCCCAGTGGAGGAGGAACCAGAAGAAGTTGTGATTGTGAAGTCACCTCAGTTTCTAGATGCCGTGTGGGAATACCGGATTCAGAGAGTAGGTGATGGCGGAGGAGTCTTAGTTCAGCAGATGAACGCTGGGTAAGCAACGCCTTTACCCCTCACCTTAGATACTAGCTGTCATTTGGTAGTTGAGGGAGAGAGAGAGAGAGAGAGAGAGAGCTGTCTCTTTTTGCCGCCAACATTCCTTGCCTGGCCCAGGGCTTTTGTGATTTTTTAGGTGGCAGTGCTGACATGACCAGACCACGAAATATCTTCGTGGAAACAGCACTAAACTACACGCTCACATACATCAGCTATATCGCGGCATCCAAGAACTTTGGATCTCTCGCGATTACAATTCTCGCAGACAACGACTACTATTCCGAAACCGTGGCATCTTCTACACCGTATAGAGGGAGCCACTTTTCGAAATTTGGAGTGAAGTTGCAAGACGCCCACAAAACCGGTCTCGGATCGTCTGCTGCCCTTGTTACTGCTTTGGTATCCGCGGTTGTCATCCATCGCACTGTGCAACCCGAGGAACTGGCGTCTGTGCGGGATAAATTACACAACCTCGCTCAGGCAGCTCATTGCGCAGCGCAAGGCAAGGTCGGCTCTGGATTTGATGTTGCTGCGGCGGTGTACGGATCCTGTCTCTACCGGCGTTTCTCGCCCTCTATTCTGGGCGGGCTGGGGGAAGCCGGGTCGGCGCAGTTTGAAGGCCGGCTGTTTGCGGTGGTGGAGGACCTGAACACGGAGACGCCGTGGGATACGGAATGCGTGGACTTTGGGTTCCGGCTGCCGCGGGGGCTGCAGATGGTGCTCTGCGACGTGGACTGCGGGTCACGGACGCCGGGAATGGTGCAGAAGGTGCTGGAGTGGCGGGCGCAGAACCCCGAGGAGGCGGAGATGCTGTGGAATGGGCTGCAGCGCAACAACGAGAAGCTGCGGCAGGAGCTCAAGCGGTTGGCGCAGGCTCGCGGGATGCTGGTGAACTACGACGAGCTGCGCAGCCTGATCGCACGCACGCGCATGTGGATCAAGACGCTGACGAACAAGTGCGGCGTGCCCATCGAGCCGGAGGTGCAGACGGAGCTGCTGAACGCGCTGTCGCAGGTGGACGGGGTGGTGGGCGGCGTGGTGCCGGGCGCGGGCGGGTACGACGCGATCGCGCTGCTGGTGAAGGACGACCCGCTGGTGATAGACGCAGTACAGGAGCTGGTGGACGGCTGGACGAGCGCGGTGGACGACGACTTTGGCGGGCACATCGGGCGCGTGCGGCTGCTGGGCGTGGGCTGCGGCTTCGAGGGCCTGAAGAACGAGCTGCCGATGCGCTACAGCGGCTGGATCTGAGGCGGCGGCGGCGGCGGCGGGCGACGTGCTCTATCATCATCACGTAGCTACATACAGACTACTCCGTACAAATACATACCTCCAGACATAGGTGCAAGCGAGCGTTAGTGCGTAGGCTGGTCTGGCTGGAAACGGCGTCCGAATAAGAACCGAAGCGTGGCGACGAAGGATTGCTGGGCGGCGGCGAGAGTGCGGCGGTCCGGCTGGCGGGCCATGGAGGAAGCCAGTGTTGACTACGCCGTAACTCAGTTAATAATAACAGCATAAGACAGACCGCAGAGAGCGCGGCCAGGCCAGCAGTGGAGCAGCGCGGTCTCGTCTCGTCGCCGGCTGGCCGAGTGTTGTCTCGTCATCGCCATCACCGCCGCCCTCACGTCTTCTCTCTCCAGGCATCGCCAGCCAGCATGCCTGCGCTCTAGGCACTCTCCCTCGCCACGCTGCCCGTCAAACCCTTTGCCTGCCTGACTAACGAACTCTCGCCCTAACTCACTCACTAACTCTGCGGGCTGTGAATCAAACCTTGTGAAACCCGCCTAGGAACTTGGAACGATGGCATCAAACACCACCGCTGCGCCTGGCGCTGGCCGAGATTCCAACTGCTCAACCTCCCAGCCAGGCACCGCCACTCCAGAACCCGCCGTCACGCCCGCCCACGGAGCCCAGCATCGTGTCATTGCTGCTGCTGCTGCTGCTGATCCGGCCCATGCGCCCGCCGACGACGCTTCTCGCCCTTCACATCTCCCCTTACCTGTCGCCGCCGCCGTCGACAACCCGGCCATGCCGTCGCCCATCACCACCACCCTCATCGAACCCGTCTCGGACACCAGCCCGCTGCCAGCAATCCGCGTCGACAACGCGACCGGCGCTGCTGCTGCTGCTACCGTCGCGCCTACGACGGAGCCGAAACCGCTGAGTCCTGCCATAGGCCCGTCGTCAGACCTCCCCAACCCGTCCTCAAAGGAGTCTGACGCCGCCGCCGGCTCGTTGGTCATCACGCTGCTCCTGACCACCGGCGCCAGACACCCCTTCAAGATCGATGGCAAGTACCTGCGCAAGCGCAGCGTCAATGTGCCCGACCATGACCCCTTTGCGATGAGTGTATATACTCTGAAGGAGCTGATATGGAGGGAATGGAGATCAGGTATTCAGCCATCTGATACTGAGCAGTGTCCCTCTGGATTACATTCGACTAATAGTTATCTGTCGGCTTAGAATGGGAACCCCGACCATCGTCACCAAGTTCAATTCGCCTAATATCCTTTGGCAAGCTTCTCGACGACAAGGCCCCGCTATCAGGTTCGTGACTCTTTCACTCTGTATCAATTACGTTCTAATTGTCTGGATAGATGCTAAATTCAACCGTGATGCCCCCAATGTTGTGCACATGACCGTGAAGCCGCAGGACGTCATTGACGAAGAGGACGCCAAAGCATCCAAAGGCCAATACCCCCGTGGCGAAGAGAATGAACGAAGCCCTGGATGCCGCTGCATCATTTTGTAAGATTTCAATATGTCGTTGTACGTCACCAAATACCCCTCCTATGACGCATGCCCTCCCCCACCGCCTACCGAATTATGTATCCCACCGATCCCAATACCTTGGGCACCTTCCGGACCACTTGCGCGTTTTCTACGACATATCATACGCCACAACACCATAGACCCTCTGTTTCTGCAAATCTCATCCAAAAATCTACTAGAAACTACCGCCCCCTCCTTCCGCTTGCCACCCCTTGTTCATATTCCCCCCATTTCCTCTAGCGCACTGAGAGATCTCTCTGAACCCCCCAGTTGCTGATAATGATTTATGTACAGACGAAACGCTCATCATTATTCCCATGTACCTTCGGGTCTACTGGCGTTGTTTGGTTTGGAGCTTGGCTGCATTCGCTCTTCTCTTCAAAGGACCTTCTTGTTTCTACGCTCTGTGCTGGCCACGCTGGACAGAGCGCGTTATCTACAATTGCCATACATGCGGCCTCAAACTTTCCCTGTTCCAGCATTTTCCTTCAATGAAGCTTTTCTCCTTGTCGTTTCTACACAAAGCATATCCGGATACATTACATTGTGCCTACTATCCATTCCTTCATTTCTGCGGTTCTGCGATTTTGTGGTTTTCTTTTTTCTTACTTTTTTCTTCTCTTTCTTTTCTTTATTTGTACTGCTGTTGTCTTTCCTTTTACCTAGACGTGAGGCTATGAAATCGAAGATAAAGTATTGTTTTTCCGATGACTGGGGCTAGTTTGTATTTTTGGACGTTCCCATTCGGCGTTAGATTTTCTTCCAATCCCAACATCGGCTCTGGACAAGCAAAATCTCGAGGTAGGAGTGTTAACGTCATAACTAGTACGATTTGGAAAACCATACTTTGATAGAATTTAATTTGCACTGTGACCTTTTTGTCCAAATGCTGGATTGTGGCATTGAGTACGAACATTCAATATTGGCAGTAGTAACGTGGATACCCAAGTGTCCACCGCACCCAAACACAAAAGACATCAAGGAATTGATGGTATCGAACAATGTATTCAAAGCTATGCTGTTCTAATTATACACAGCACCAGGTAAAGGTCTCTACATCAAAAAACATCACTGAGGAGGACAAGCTGCAAAGGGCAGCGAACACGCTTAAGAGCTTCTACCAGTTCATCTTCAATCGCTGCTCCATCTCATCATGGAACGTTGGTCCTTCGCGAAGCATATCGCCTGGTGAAAAATGTTAGCATCAGAAACAAGATATTCTCAGAGAATCGATGGTGAACGAGCACTTGATATAGCACGGTCGTCCATGTGGCCAACATACCATGGAATACATCCTCCCACGTAACCTCCGTCTCCCGACCTCCCAGCGCCAGAATATCCTCATGTATACTGCTCTGCGCATTTCCACCTAAGACAGCCGGTCTCCACTGTCCTTCTCTAACCATCTTCATCTCCATCCCGCGACGCACCGGTTCCGCAATGCCATACATCCGCCGCAGAGTCTCCATCTTCATTGCATCTTGCGTCTGGCGCCACTGCAGCAAGCGTGCCTCTAGAGGATGTGTGGAGGATGGTGCCTGGGGGCCATTATCGGGGGCGGGGGTGGAGAGCGAGGCGCGGAGGACATCTGGGACGCCCGGGGCGGAGGGAGCGCCGTTGCGCAGATGCGGCGTGGCACCGTTCTTGGAGGTGTTGGATCTTTGAGACGGGTTATTGGCCGAAGGCGCGATGCGGAGAGACTGTGGGCGGAATTAGCAACAGTTAATGGGCGGTTTGATGGTTAACGGAGGGTGTTGAGTCAACGGACCATATTTGAAAGGATTCTGGTTTTCGGTGGGAGAGAATATGAGAGGTCCAGTAGTAGCGGATATTAAACGGGGGAGAAGATCAGTATGTAAGTGAGAGCCTGCAGAAAACTACCTGGAATAGGTGCTTCGAAATTATCCAGATAATACTGGTTCAGTCTTGACAGTGAAGCTTCAGGCGGCGCTCTCCACGTCAAGCTCCTCCGGCCACCCAAACAGACCAGCTCGGCAAAATTACAAGTTGTCACATGACTAATGACTAAGCTCTCTACTCAAGATACTTTTCTGCGGATTGAATGACAGCGCTCCAGCTTGTTGACGATACTCCGAATTTCGTCCAGCAATCCGCTCTTTTCCGACCGAAATAACAGTCATTATGTCTGTTTCACCTCGCACATCGACAATCCGACTTTTGCGACACCTTCTCCGCCAGCAATTCTCCCCCATCCTTCCGAAACCCGTCCGCCCTGCATTTCAACTTCTCTCTCACAACACACGACCGACCACCGCGTTCTTACACCAGAAATTCCAAATCGCACACTTCTCCACCACCCCTCGTCCGCAAGCCACCTATAACCAGGTCCGACGTGGATGTCGTAAGAAGCAAAAAGCGCGGAAACCGCGCTCACCGGCGCTCGTCAATCGGCCCCAGATGAAAGGCGTGTGTCTCAAGACCGGTATTACCAAGCCAAAGAAACCCAATTCCGGAGAGCGAAAGATTGCCAGGGTGCGGCTGAGCAGTGGAAGAGTTATTACGGCATATATTCCCGGCCAAGGTATATAATGACTGCTTTAAGTTCCAGCCAAGGGTTTTTTTTGGTTTATACTGAAAAAATATGGCAGGTCATAACATCCAGCAACATAGTGTGGTCTTGGTTCGCGGCGGGAGAGTTCAAGATTGCCCTGGTGTGAAGTATCATCTCGTTCGTGGCGCCCTGGATCTTGTATGTGGCACCCCCTTGTGACATTAGGATGGCTACTAATTATATAACAGCATGGTGTTACTGGGCGATTGACCAGCCGATCCAAATACGGAACGAAGAAACCAATCTCATCCAAGAAATCAGAATCAAAATAACCAAAGTGCTTAGAGAACAAGAATTTATATTGTTTTGGCGTGCGATTGTATGGATGTAATATACGGAGTAGACAGGCCCAAAAATTCAAGTGCCAACATGTTATATATTTTCTCATTGCGATCATAGATTGCCATCCGATGTCCCCACCCTAGTTAACTCCATGAAGGGCTATACTTGTACAATTTACCCATAAAAATGCCACAAAAAAATATAACAAAATATAAATGAAGTTGACAAAGTTGCCATTATGCACAGCCCTACCCGATAATATGGATTCAGGAAGGCTAGTGGAAGGCTAGTGCAAGGAAAGCGCAATGTCGGGGAGCAGGAAGGGTAGGAGTACCAAGAAGAAGTATGGCGTTAGATTACTCCGTGGAACAGACGCCTAAATTCGCGCTAAGGTCGTGTCGATTACATTTCTTGTTCAAACCCTTTGGGCTTCTGCAGCTTAAGAAGGTCATGGAATCGAGTTGTGCCTAATGGCATGCAATTAGCATATAGAGATTATGCAGCCCGGGAAGAAACTCACATGAATGACCTTTCCAATCAAAATTATCCTTCGACTGGCACGAGCATTTTAATTTCATTTTTCTGTCCAGGCCAGTTGGGCAGTGCGTAAAAGGGACATGGTAGTACCCAATTTCATCGAAGAAATGGACTTCCTCCTTCTTTAACAACAACGATGCAGCAATGGAATGCACAGGCGCATCGCCCCATCTTTCGTAGAAAAAACCACCATCTCTGTCAAGAGATTCAAAATAATCCAAGTATGCCTTAGAACGGAGCCAGTTCAAATCGCCAATTTCAAAATTGGACCACTAGACTTGACGTTAGAAATTTAGCAGTCAAGGCGCTGAGGAGAAGGGGAGCATACGAAATGGCACATGTTATAAGTTTTACCCCCATCCTCTGTCACAAACTCCATGTTGTTTCCCTCAACAATATGCTCAGGGTGTTTCTCCATGAACTTTTTGACACTATCCCATAGCGTTAGGACAGTTTCTTTATATTCATGCAAACTGAGTACAAAGCTGTATTTTTTCTTGTTATCCCTCATAAACTTGAAAGCATCGAACCCAACATCACAGAAGTATTTGACACTGGGTTCTACACGCCAATAGTAATCGTAATTCAGCATAAGTTCATGTCTGAAAAAGAAGCCGGATTCGTAGCGACACATGTGTCTGTAGCTCGACGAACCGCCGTAGATAATCTTCTTCTCTTCCATTATTCTACGTGCCTCAGCAGCCTTAGTTTGGTCGATCCATTCGGGGTACGACCAGTGCTCTGTCGGGATTTTACCGTAATGAGCTTTGCCTGAGACGAAACTAGAGGTAAGTTTCTTAAATTCTTCACTGAAGTCACCATCGTTGAGAAAAACCCAGTCGTAATGGTAGTTCCGATTAAACCGGTCTTCAATCTGTCGAATGGAATGTATCATATCCCAGAGATCCGAGTCCCTGACCAGAGAGACGAATGTAGCATTCGCGCGATCAGAGCCCGCGGTTCCAGCCGGCTCATTGGTTTTAGGAGGAGGGGCAAGACTAATTGCGGGTGTCTTTGCGGGTAAGTGAGCGGTTTGTATATGTAATTCGCCGTTCTTGTTGGGTTTCGGGGGGGAGCCACTATGTTGAACTGTAGGGCGTGGCTTTGCGGTGGAAATGAGCGAGTCCGGCCCGGGAATCGATGAAGCGATGAAATGTAGGACCGCGATTCCCTTATCGATAATCAGCCTTGCGCTATACAAGCATAACACCGTCACTTACTATCACAGCAAAGAAGATATACCGTATGTATTTTCCCGACATTGTTGGATAAGGGAGGGCCTCGCAGCCAGCGTCTTGTGGCAACGAGTGGTTATAGAGAACGAGCGGCCTTCAAAATAGCCTCAAGGGGAGAATGAAAGGAGTTATTATTCTAAGGAACCGTAGTACATATCATGTCATCGGAGTGATGGATGATGAAGAAAGGAAAAAATTACTTGGGCTGCAAGGCGCCAGACAAATGGCCAGGCGGCTGCAAGCGAAGAGCAAACGCGGCAGTCTTATTGCTCTGTATTTTAGAGTTCCCAGCTCCGTACCGAGTCGTAATAAACTTTTGTTGGCGTGAGGAAGCCGTGCGCCAGCCCGGGAGTCTGGCCGCGAAGGTTCCTGAAAGAGTTAGCACTAAAACAAAGACCATGGGTCGCGAGGGGTCAGATATACGGCTAGCGGTACTGCGTTGATGGCCGCTGCAGACTGCCCGCGTGCGCTGACTCATCCATCCCAGATTACGTGATGCCACCGGGGACTCATTCGGGAAAGAGTTTGTTAGAACACTCCTGACGCAAAACGCTTGTATATCCTTCAACCCCCCCGACGTGGGCCCCAATTGCACCTTCATAGACACCAGCATGTCGTTTTTCGGATTTGATGCGACGCTTCCGGATGGGCGCCCACCGCCGCTGGCGTCGAGGGGTATTTTTGAAACCCCAGATCCTTTCGCTGAAGTCGCCCGCGCCACCGCCCATGGAGACGACGTGTAGGCCTCTGCGGAACAAACTACGAATTATGGGCGCCAGCTGACACAATATTTAGCATAGATTTTGAAGATACTTATGACGGACTGGGAGATCGGCTTGACGACGCCCAGGATGCTTTCAACGATGACACCTTCGGCGCCGCTGCCGGCGATGAGGGAGCGCCTGTGGGAAAAGATTTTGACTTTTTTGGCAACACAGCTCAAATGACAAACGTCCTTGGTGAAGAGCAAGTCATATACAACCTGAAGCACCATACAGAACAGCCCGTATCGTTCACGAAGGCTGCCGAGCCCTCAAAGCCCAAAAGAACGGGATATGAACCATATCAGGATCCTGGATATATCCCGGAGATTCAAGCAAAATCAAGCGTATGGGGTACTGGGATTACGCAAAAGCAAAGGCCAGTCGACCAAACAAAAGGGGCCGCCCCAGCGAGGAAGGTGATGAGCCTGGAAGAAGTTGAAGCTCAAATGCGTGCCCAAACCCACAAATCGGAACCGAAGGCAGAGCAGCCTTCTGCTTTGCCAATTCCCTCTGCAATTCCTCCTCCAATTCCTCCCAATATACGATATCATGACCAGCCCTTTCCACCGCCTGAGGCTTTTCACCATCTCCCTCACAAGGACTTTGCCCCCTTGGATCAACGTCAACACCACCCACCTGTTCGGGATGCGCACTTGCCGCAAAATTTCCAGCAAGCCCCGCCTCGGCCCTTTCCAGAGCCGCCTTTGATACCAAATGTTCCCCCTCAAATGCTGCATCACAACCGTCCACCGAATATTCCACCCCACATACCAATTGGGCCTCAAATTCAGAACCACTTCCCCCAGCTCCAACCACCTCTTCCTGCACCTCCTTCTTCTCTTGCTACTGCCCATCTTCAATTCCCGAAGCTGTCGGAGGAACAGCGTAATGCGCTGTTGGCAGAGGACGCGAAACGTGCTAAACGAAATCATAAAATCCATCTTTTGTCCAAAGGGAATGGCCTCATGACCCCACAAGATAAGAACTTTATTACCCGGATACAGCTACAACAGCTTGTGTCAGCAAGTGGGAATACGGAAGAATCGGATGCTGACGTTCTTTTGTCAGAGGATTTCTACTACCAGGTGTATAGCCAGATTCGTGGCGCTCCGCGACAGCATCCCCGACAGCCTCTGGGTCATTTTGCTCAAACCTACCTTTTTCAAACTGGAAACCGAACTGGGGGTATGGGCCGCCGGCAATACCAGAATGCGGATAACCACATGCAACGGATGCAGCAACAAGTGCAACGTGCAGTCGAAGCGGCAAAGTTGAGGCCAAAGAACAAGCAGCTGATAATCGAGGGAAGTTTAGGGAAAATCTCGTTTAGCAATGCGAAAACACCAAGGACATTGCTTAACATCAAACGTCCAGACAGCGCCGACGGCCAAAAGCCTGCAAATGCTAAGAAGGACACCCAAACCCGCCTGAGCCCCAGCGATCGGAAATCGATTCTAAATAATATTGAAAAGGCATATGATACCTTGATGAGAATGGAAGATCATGAACGAAAAATGCCGCCACCACCGGATGCCGAAGACGCAGAGGCAGTAGAAAAACACATGGAATGGAGGAAAAGGATGGGCGATCTGAACCGAAAGCTTTGGGTTGACATGAAAGTCCACGAACCAATTTTCCCCGGATCTCAAACACCCCACCCTTTTATCGCACTCTTGTCATACCCGAAAGGAAAGAAAGTCATCCCCCGTATTTTCCGTCACATGGAGCAAGAACAGCGTGTCACAATTTTGACGATGATTATTGTGCACCTAGATGTTTTAGATGTCGTTCAACGAGCACAACTGCAGCCCGGAGAAACTCAGCCTCCTGGCCCCGTCCGTGAAGAAATTGATTTGTTTTCACAGACCGTGATGCCAAGCTTACTGGGATACGTCAATGAGGCACCCTTAAAGATCATCATTGGTCTTCTTGGCCTTGTCATTTACCGGACAAATATTCACGCGGTTTCTCGAACACGGGTTGGACTTGGTGTTCTGACAATGCTACTAAGCCGTGCTGAGTTAGTCAAAGAGGCAGGGACTGTCGATAATGAAGAGTGGCAACAATGGACAGACCTCTATAACCAACTCTTTGACCGCCTCGAACCAATTTTGAGTGATATTTTTCCTGGAAGCATCAACAGCGGTGATGACATGTATGTGTGGCAATTTCTTGCCGCCGTTGGTCTTGGGGCTAGTCCGGAACAACAACAACGGCTGGTCATTGCTGTAAAGTAAGTATTTTATCCTTGTATATCCTATGGTACGATTTGTGGAGACATGCATACTGACATGCGCATTAGAAACCGAGTATTAGAAACTGTTGCACAGAGTAAGACTCTGCCCGCTGACATGGCAAGCCAGCGACTTGGAAATGTTAATTTGTTTATGCGTGCAATCGGCCTTGACGTCGAACTATTGGGCTAAAAGGTGTTTTTTACTATACACAATGATTGTCTTTTATACCATGCATTTCTCGATATATTCGTATTTTATGTTTGGCAACGTATCCTCTCTTGCATTCAATATGTTATTATCCGGAACGCCATGTCGATTGTCTAGCAGGGCTTGTGGAAGGGATTCATCCTGCCCAAATTGCTGTTCTTCTTTCTGCTCTGCATAGCGTGTTGTAGTTGGTACTGCATTTCGAATGACTTGCATAGCTTCGTGTGGGTCGTCTGCTTCGGTAATTAGATGCATTATCCGCAAAAATTGCCTCTTGCTGTCGATCAGACTTTGGTCTGGCTGTCAACCTGTGTATTTATGTATGTACATGCACATCTATGCTTCACGCTCAGCTCATGTGTATTAGAGTTAACTTGTACTGTTTTCGCACTCCGTGCCCCCCAATCAACAGCCGCTGCTTATCAAGCCTCAACCGGACGCGGAAAAGCATGTATTCCGGTTAACGTCATTGTTTGGTGATATCAAGCGATCGCCACTTATTGTTTCGTACACACCCACGCTCTATCAACTGACCTCTTCTAGTCCTTCATCACACCCGCTGGCTACACGACGGTGTGTGATTACAACACTACCTGACCGTCAATCACTTGCATAGTGGAAGACGATTAACTGGGCCAACAATTGGACGATAGCATTTGCCGCTGATTGTATTCCTGTGTGCCCGGGTTTGGGCAAAGGAGTTATCGCCCGCAATTGACTTCATCAGTCGTCAGCATGAACATCCTTATTTTTGGAGGCACTGGATCTGTGGGTGCATGGACAGCTCGAAAAGCGCTAGAACGTGGGCACTTCGTGACACTGCATGTCAGAGATGCAAACCGAGTTCCTGAGGATCTAAAAAGTTCGATTGGAGTTACGGTAATATGCCAGCCACTTCGCCGCGTAGCATATTGATTCACATGCACTGATAATCGCAAAGATATATGAGGGCACTCTGGCCGACGAGGCATCTCTTACCAGCGCAATTAAAGGCCAAGATGTAATTCTCTCGTCGATTGGACCGAACGGACCATGGGGGTTTAAGGGCGAGCTCATAGCTGGCTACCGGCTTATCCTCAGACTGATGCGGACCTTGAACGTCCATCGGATCATTGCTATGACCACAATCAGTTGCTATGATCCCCATGACTCCTTCGCATTCTCCAGGCTACTGACATATCTCTTAATATTCATCTTTGCTCGAATTGCGCAGCTTGAGGTTTTAGGAATTGAAAAAGTGTTCAAGGAAGATGGCGCCAGCATCGACTGGACTCTGGCTAGGGTCCCGGTGCTCAAGGATTCGCCAGAAGACGGTTATATTGCTAAGGCGGGCTATGTGGGCGACGGACACTGGAACCTCTTCTTGGAGCGGAGAGACTGGGCGAACTGGATGGTCCGCGAAGCCGAGAGAGAGTGTCCGAACTGGGTGCGTGAGTCGCCAGCGCTCTACACGCCCCTCGAAACACGCCATCGTTCCCACCCCCATCGTGAATAGATTCTTTGGTGTAATGGCGGGCAGATGTGTCTGTCCATGTTCGGCGAGGCATACCAGGCTCACTGTATCTTAAACTGTAGCTCCTCAAAAACCTAATGCGGCTGGTTATTTAGTTAGTTACCAGGGCCCTTGACTGCGAATGTCCATTTTACATGGCCCCTGGAGGTGTATACGATGACGCCCGTATATGCCTGTCTTTAATGACGCGTTCTTGAAGCCAGGACAAGGCTGGCGCCCACAAGGCCGATGTTGACGGTCCAAAACACCTCCATCCACCCGGCAACATAAATCCATATAAGATAGAAGAGCCAGCACCAGCCTCGCTCCTTGCTCTCTGGTTTCCCTCGTCCTAGCGACCTGTGCCCGCGCATCGACGTTTGAGGATCTGCCCCTATAGTTACAGCTGATTCACTAAATCCTACCCCGCCTCCAAATCCCCATCCTCCGTCTCCGCATCAACCGCTGTTCGCACAAGAGCGCATACGTCGCACAAATCTCAATGGCTAAAGGAAGTGTTCTCGTTACCGGGTAAGCTGTCGTTGCTGTCTCCGCCGTCGTTTTTCCCCATTGCAGGCGCAGCTAGATATGCAGCCGCTGCGGGGTGCGTATTGGCCGCATCGCTAATGTCGCGTCGGGACGCCCGGTCGGAATTGGTAGAGGAACGGGTTACATTGGCTCTTTCACCGCTCTTGCGCTCCTGGAGGCGGGCTACGATGTTGTTATCGCAGACAGTTTGTATAATTCCTCGGATGAGGTGCTCAATCGGATCGAGCTGCTTTGCGGCAAACGCCCTGGCTTCTTCAAGCTGAACGTAACGGATGAGGCTGCCTTCGACCGCTTGTTCGAGGAGAATCCCCAAATCGACAGCGTGATTCACTTTGCGGCACTGAAGGTATTAGGACGTTCTCCACGATACGACCCATACGTGATGCTTATTCTCTGCTAGGCCGTTGGAGAATCCGTCGAGAAGCCTCTGGATTACTACAATACCAATGTCTACGGCACCTTGTGTCTGCTGCACTCAATGGTCCGCCACAATGTCACCAATATCGTGTTTTCTAGCTCCGCCACCGTCTATGGAGATGCGACGCGATTCGAGAACATGATACCCATCCCGGAAGAATGCCCACTCGGGCCAACAAACCCGTACGGGAACACTAAGGTCTTCGCCGAAACGGCCATAACGGATGTTATCAACGCCCAGCGTAGCAATGCGACAAAAGCTGGGAAAACACAAGACGTTGAGAAGTGGAACGCCGCCTTGTTGCGGTATTTCAACCCCGCAGGCGCGCACCCTAGTGGCATCATGGGTGAAGATCCACAGGGAGTACCGTATAACTTACTTCCATTACTTGCACAGGTGGCTACTGGGAAAAGAGAGAAACTTTTGGTTTTTGGTGATGGTATGTTATCAGCAATTCCTGTGAAGAACCCTGCCCTAATACTTGATATCAGACTATGCTTCCCGAGACGGTACAGCCATTCGTGATTATATTCACATCCTCGACCTTGCTGCTGGCCACCTGGAAGCCCTTAACTATCTTCGTGACCACCACCCAGGCGTCCGTGCATGGAACTTGGGTACTGGCAAAGGCAGCACTGTCTACGATATCATCAAGGGATTCAGCAAGGCAGTAGGCCGTGACTTGCCCTATGAAGTCGTTGCTCGCCGTGATGGTGATGTTCTTGACCTGACTAGCAACCCATCTCGTGCCAACCGTGAATTAGGATGGAAAGCTCAAAGAACGCTTGAACAAGCTTGCGAGGACTTGTGGCGGTGGACAGAAAACAACCCTCAGGGATATAGACAATCGCCACCAGAAGACCTTTTGGAAAAACTCAAAGCCAGTTCAAAACCCTGAACGCAAAAGAGCATATCTGATGTAGTATAGGATAGTAATAAATATATAGACTGGCCACTGTTATGATTTTAACATTTAAAGTATGTTTTAAATTTCAATTGAAACCCAATAAGATCACATATAAACTGAATGAGAGAGGTACTATCGTTTTAATAGGACTTCTGCCAATTAAGCGTGTCGAATACTAGCACTCCCTTTATCCTCTATATACATAACACCGTTAACCTGCGTATTTTATGACTAGCACAAGTACATCCGCAATTGATTTCATATTAATTTTGTATTTTCCCCTTTGACAATACTTTTTTATCGGACTCATCCTTCTTCTCTTCCATCTGATCCCCCTTTTCCTTATTTTTCTCGGCTGCTCTTCTTAACGCACTTTCTTTCTCTGCTGCCTGGATCTGCTCTTGGCTGAACTTCCATAGTTTCTCGGCAATCGCATCATTCATAATCTCGTTTCTCAAAACCATTCTTTCCTTACATTCTTTAATCAAGCAACCACCGGCAATTCCCAGTGTTCGCCTCTTCTTATCTTCCTCCGTCTCACCTACCGCACTGAGAGTGGGCTCCATGGCGGCTGAAAGGAAGCTCTGTGCCCCTTGCTGGGGTGATTTTAGCAGTAACCACCAGATTGGCCATGTAATAATGTAGATAAGCAGTCCCAACAGTGACCCGCGAGAAAGCCATCGTCTGGTCCCAGGTGTTCGCGAAAACCCAGGGTCAACAACAAGTACACGTGAATTGCAGGCTCTTAGTTTTTTGGGCTGTTTTATATTATCATAATTTGCCAAGTGGGCCTGGAATGATCTCGCAAAAATCATTAGAGCAAGCTTTGATGTAGCGTATATGCCGCTGCTAGAATTCGAGATTTTTTCACCAGCTTTGTGGTCATGCTGCCTTTTCGGATTTGAGTTCTGTCTCTTTTCCAATGTCCTCACGTCCAGTGTCTCAAAGTCCAATTCCGCTCCAATGTAGCTTGAGCAAGTAGCAAGAATAACTCTGATATCACGGTCCTGTGGCTGAGCTCGTAGTGCAGGGCTTAATATACTTAATAAATGAAAATTTGCTAGGTAATTGACCTGCCATTCTTCGTTTAGCCCATCAACCGATTTTCGCGATTCCAAGGACGATGGGGGTGTCATCGTATTTCCACAAAGAATAACTATATCCAGCCGTCGAGGAGGTGCATTATCTACCCATTTTGTAGCAAAACGCCGGATTGAGTGGAGTGAGGAAAGGTCCACCTGCTCAGCATAAATGAGTTCATTGTTGGTGCTGGCGCGGACATCTTCAATGTAGTCGACGAGAAATGGATCGGTGGGAGGATGCTGGGTGAGAATAATTATCTGAGCGCCACGAGATGCTAGATCGTGAACTATCGAGGCACCGATGCCTGAGGTGCCACCCTAAACAAACCATAGGGATTAGAATAGTACTTGAAAAGGGTATAGAAGTGCATATGTACCGTAATCATAACCACCTTCGAGTGCATCACTCTGTTTGATTTATTGATCGCACCGCCAAAGTATCGTTTGAGCAGCGAGATGGTGGCAATGGCCGACACTGTCTTGATAGCGGGATATATGTATGGAAATGATGAGAGACCATTGCTGACCGCGTGGGAGATGAGTGGCATAGGCATTGTGAAGGTATGGCCGCACTAGGCGAAGGCGGGTCACTGACAGCCAACAATTGTAGGGCTATCCGTGTTTCGTCGTTGTGTTTGCCGGCTGCTTTCGTGATGCTTGAGCTGGTGTTGGTAAAATCAGTACGGAGTACGGAGTACGGATCCGTATGTATGTAACTAAACGCCAAATGACGTCGTTTGGAAGCTCCTTTTTTTCGACGCTTCTGCCCGCGTCTGTGCTCTACCCCCGAGTCGATACTGCGAAATGGCTGACGACGAAGAATATTTTCTCCCCTTAGAAGACCAATCTATTTTCGGCGCAGGAATAAAAAGAAAGCGAGTCTTGTTTGTTCGTCCAACAGACGCACCCTCTGCGCCCGACAATGACTCTCTCTTTGCACCAGTAACCGCATCTTCGACGCCAGGACCACGCTCAGCAGATTCAGGTTCAGGAACCCTAGGAGAAGAGTATCTTTCTATTGTGCTATCCAGATCTTCCAGCTCCGCCCCTGCCACCGCTCCTGATCGCTCTACACCGCCCCAAATCCCATCCACGACAGCACCTGAAGACCCTTCACGAAGGCTTTGCGATATCTGCAATCTACCGTTGTCACAGCTACCACCCGCGGTATCGGATAGAAGATATCCGCCTCATCCACATGAAAGCTCTCTCGTTCACCAAGTCAGCCTCCCCCACTCTCACCCGCCCTCCGCTATCGACCGCACCCGGCACGGATACAAGTACCTCTCTTCCTACGGCTGGGACCCAGATGCCCGTGTTGGCCTAGGACCAAACGGCAGTGGGATTCGGGTGCCCATCAAAGCAGAGTTCAAGCGTGATACTACGGGTCTCGGTGTGGACGTCAAGAGGTTGACTGATCTGGAGAAGCAGGAAAGAGAAAACCGGAGAACAATTGGCAAACTAAACGCAAAACAGGTCAAGCAAAAAGATGCCGAGGAAAAGAGAAAATCAGATAAGCTCAGAGAACTATTCTATGCTTCCGAAGACGTAGAAAAATATTTAAGTGGTGCTTAATGTACCTTCTCGATTGCAAATTGTCTGTTCTCCATTTTAATAGATATACAGATATACTGAAAGGCCTCGAAAATTCTATGTAGAAACAGCCAACCTGACTTTTATAACACGAGAAAGACGTTTTGAGATACCCATACTTGGGTATAAATGAGCGTGTGCCTCACTCTCGTTATATCTGATATGCGCTTCATATCGAGTCCACTGCCGCTTCAGAGTTGAGCTTAACTGGCTGGAAATTCGTAAATAGCCCCCCCCCTCCCCCCCCCCCTCCCCCTCCTCCCCCCCCCCCCCCCCCCCCCCCCCCCCAACTCTATTACTGCCTTGTCAAAACACCGCTTCCACTACTGATCCGGCATCAACTGTTGCTATCTAAGTTCTGTTTGAACTATATTCCATGTTTTGAGGCTACTCTTCCATAATGATACTCAAACCCTCTAGCCAGATCTACAAATCCAGACACTTATCCCTTTTCTACCTATTAATACACAGCTGGGGGGCTCTTAGAGCCCCTTTCAAATGATGGGACAAAAGGTTCTTCGGAGGACGGTCTTGAAAATTTGGAAAAAGTATGGATGATTATATGGACAAGCAAAGTAGGCTCACAGAAGGGAATGTCTTAACAATAACGGCAAGAACTCATCTATGAAGCTACTTAAAGAACCGTTTCTTCTTTTCCTTGTCCTTCTTATCCCTATCCTTGTCCTTCTTATCCTTATCCCTGTCTTTCTTGTCCTTGTCCTTATCTTTCTTTACGAGTTTCGCTTCACTTTTCGACGACACCGGATTTGGTCGAGTGGGTGCTGCTTCTTGCAGCGATTTCACTCTGCGTGGGTCATCCTGCGAGCTCATTGTCAAGGCAGCAAGGCCGGTAGTTGGAGGTGCCAGAGGCGCTATCGTAGATGATGGCTGCTTTTGAAGTTGCTGCGGTGGCTGCGATTGTGGAGGATGCACATTGGGGGGTGGATCCCTTTCAAATATATGCGAGGGAGCCTGTGGTTTTGGCTGCTCAGCGGGAAGATTAAGACGACGTTTATCAACACTAAGGTCTCCAACCTGTCGTAAGAATAAACCAGGAGTAAGCATATGAGATGTTACCAGATATACATCTTTATTATGCGCACGAGATATTTCGTAACAAGAACGAGCTTCTGAATATGTTGCACCCCCGGCCATAAAAACAATAATTCTCTGTCGAGGTTCGCCAGCAGAAGGACGAGTCCGGGCCCAGGTTGGTTTCGCACTTCGGAGAGATGCCTGAGACGTAGTGTCTTGGCCATGCCCATCCTCGTCCATTTGGCGTGTCGAAGGAAATACTGTGGTATCCAAGGTTCCTCGTATTTGGTCTTGCAACATTAATTTTATATTGGGCTCGAACCTTGATAAGCTTGTGTCGTCATCACTTATTTGCGTCGGTGGCTTTTGAGTAAATAAAGGAGGGTTTGGTTGTCTGGTATCGTTAAGGGGCTTTTCAACCCGTGCCCCGAGCAGATCGAAATTATATATCACTTCGGCATCCTGAGGAGGAAGTTGAGAGTGAGCAAGAAGCTTCTTAATATCGGCTCCAAGAAGACCACCCCGATACAGTAAGTACAGAATTATTAGCCTTAGGCGATCTTGGGGCTGAACACGGGGGTCATCGAGAAGGCGGACTACTTGGTCCGCAAGGTTTCTAGGCTTTCGGTGATCTTCATCAAACCCAGTAGCAAGGGACTGCAATGTATTAGGAAAGGGTTACAAAATGAACTTTCGAGAAAGACATAGCACACCTGCTCGACTGACGCTAGTTCCGGTAGGTTGCGTTCTTGGAATAATTTCATACACTCTTCTGCCATATTGAGATGTAGAGTGTAGGAATTCTTCCCAGCTTGAAAAGTTGATAAGCCCGCCAGCATGTCTCTGATCGTACTAACATCTGCGGAAGAGTCCCTACAAGAATGCAGTCAGCTGTGGGCTGATGTAGGGGAGAGTGGGCAGGAGAGAGGAGAAGATTTCGCCCGTACTTATCCGCAAACTGAGGGTTTTTAGCTATGAATTGGTTAAAATCATCTACAAGTTTTCCCAATAAATCTTTCATATGTAAATGACGGCTGTCCACCCAAATGTTATCGTTTTCGGATATATCCATATCCTTTGTTTCCTCGTTGGGCTGCCCAGAATTGATAGTAGTCTTGTAGGTCACTTTTTCACCTTCTTTAATGGGTAGAAGATCGTGGGCCATCGCTTGATACGTAAACTCATGCACCAATGGAGTAATTAGATCCATGGATCTGTCCACAATATATAGGACACTTCGTGGTCTCGAAGAGGGCGTAGGAAAGTCTTGTCGATATTTCGCGTAAGCGTCGAGTTCATCTTGAACAAAGCGTGCTAGATGAGAACATAAAACGCTTGCCTCGTGTGTTGGGTCTCTAGGCCGGTAGTACCTAATCAAAGGGTATTCACCAAGTGAGGCGCAAACAGAAACAATCTACCAGAGTTAGTAAAAAAAATATACAGTGTATCGAGAAAAAGGAGAACGATTAGGCATACCCTTTGAGCTAGGCTCTCAAGATGTGCGCGCACATGGTGATTACAAGCGGGGTGGTATAGAGTCGGGAAGCTCCACGGATCTCGAAATATCACAAGATGGGATTCTCTGGGGAAATAATTGATGCTGGCGAAACGAAAATCGGCAATCAAATCGCGGGCAACACTTAATCCATTTATTCTACTCCGCAGCTGTGGATCGAGCTCTAATAACTTTTATTAGGAAGGCGTACCGAGAGGCAGACGGTAGATCAAGAGGCTCACTTGATGTCCAAACCAAAAATGCCCTCCTGTATCGGCGTCGTTCTAAATCTGCAACCAGGCAATCTACAATGTGGGGGAGTGGAGAGAGAATATAAACCGCATCCGTATCCGGATTCATTGGTCGCCGGTGCTCTATCTGCTCGATATCTTGAAAGTCATTAGCTGTGGTTCACATTGAATAAAATACACCTAACTGAACGAATGCCCTACTTGTAACGTTTGCATTGAGAATATCATCCTCTTTGACAGCATTGTCTAGTAGTTTCTTCGTCCCTTCATCAACCACAAGCACTTTCCACTGAAACGAAGGCAACAATCAGCAATAGTTCAAATTCATGGAGTGATAAAGAAGCTCACTTCTTGTTCAGCAGTGTACCGGACAGTGTCCAGAATGGCTATGCATTATATTAGCTATGTTGTTCGACCTCATGATCAGTACTTACCTTTCCGCTGGACCTCAATCAAGGAGGCGTCCATCCTTGTGGGGGGTTGGTCATGGGAAGGAAAGTGTTCAGTTAGGTGACAGTATATCAAGGGAAAAGTAGATTATGAGGGTGCGATAGCTCCTAAATTGCTGGGTATAGGTTAAAGTGGAAGTGAAATCCTAACAGTAGCATAGGACGGGCACTGTCACCTCCTCGCCCTCCGCGCATCGTCGTCTCATACTCGCCGGTTTAGACTTTCAGGATCATTTGTGACATATGACGGCCCCTGACTAATCATCAAGAATCCCGCTAATCTGTGAACAGCCTAGCGCAAAGTCTGCTGGAGAATATTATTCCGTTCCGTTACCAAATACGGAGGCTGGTCAGACCTTACATTTTTGATTTTATGTTCTACGGAAATGAATCTCGCAGACAACCGACTTCGGCCCCTTAAGTACTCCGCATCTTTATCTTATATCCTGCCCTGATCATAGCGCTGTGAAAAATAGTACTGGTGGTATTTTATCTGCTGATTCTTCCACAAATTACGGATATGCAACTATGGAAGACCGCTCAAAGACCATGTCTTTTTTGCGCTTTACGACAGTGTCTCCCTCCAGGCTTCACACGCCGTTCTTTTACCATAACTGCACCCCTAGATAGGGGGAAGCCTCGAAAGTCAAGCTCTATTATACGGTCTTCGGTACGAGGTAGTACAGTAGGAGCAATGCGTCAATTGTTTGTTATTTTAACATGTCTAACATTGTATAGCAATCCCCTTTTACTCCCCCACAGAAGTCGAAGAAAGGAAGACAAACACTCATCCGGTCTAAAGGCTTCAAGTCTGTGCTGGATACTGCGCTACAGACTCTGGAGCAACAGGGAATCTCAAAAGAAGAAAAGGCCTGTTGGGAGGATTTTAAGAACATGGTTTTGTCCACCGGCGCGCAGCCCGTTGGCCATGGGAGCTCTAGAGAACTGCATCAAAAACTGTATGGAACCTTTGTGCATACTGGAGCAGGCCGTTTGGCTCGCATTTTAGCCTCCGAATTTCGAAGTTATCAATATGACCAACAGTTCTCTGGTCGTGAAACGGAGGAGAAAGCGTCGGCCGATTTTAGATTCCCAGCAGAATGGTATCCAGCCGCTCGGAGCCTCCAGCGGAGTATCCACCTGCACGTTGGGCCTACAAATTCTGGGAAAACATATCATGCCTTAAAAAAGCTGGAGGCTGCGAAAAGCGGCTTTTATGCAGGTCCTCTACGACTTCTCGCCCATGAGGTGTATTCTCGGTTTAATGCAAAGGGGATATCTTGTGGTCTTATTACTGGTGATGAAGTGAGAATTCCAGGGGGCACTCCTCCTCGACTCTATAGTAACACCGTTGAGATGGCCCCCCTTGGCCAAGAAGTTGACGTTGCTGTCATCGATGAGATTCAAATGATTGGTGATCTTCAGCGAGGCTGGGCATGGACAAGAGCCCTGCTAGGAGCTCCTGCAAAGGAAATCCATCTTTGCGGCGAGGAACGGGTAGTGCCATTAATCAGTGAGCTTGCTGCGCTCATGGGCGACAAACTCGAAATCCATAAGTATCAGCGCTTGAATCCTCTAGTTCCCATGAAAAAGAGTTTGAAGGGCAATCTTACTCGGCTGCAGAAAGGTGACTGTGTTGTTTCGTTTTCTCGGTTAGGTATACATTCTTTAAAGAAAGAAATTGAGAAAACCACCGGTCGCAGAGCTGCGATAGTTTACGGTAGTCTACCTCCGGAAATCAGATCCCAACAGGCTGACTTGTTCAATGATCCCAACAACGATTACGATTTCTTAGTTGCCAGTGACGCTATTGGAATGGGACTCAATCTGTAGGATATCCCCCAATGTATATCATTCTATTGGCACTGCAGCTAACGCCAATTATAGGAGCTGTAAACGTATTATTTTTGAGACATCCATAAAAAGGACACCCACTGGCGTGCAACGACTGACGGTGTCACAAGTCAAGCAGATCGGTGGTCGAGCTGGTCGTTATCGCAGCGCAGCTGCAGCCATTGATAGTAACCTTGCACAAACATCTTCGCCGTCCCCGAACAACGATCAAAATATTGGATTTGTCACCTGCCTTGACGACTTCGATCTTCCTCACATTCAGCAGTCGCTGCAATCCGAGGCAGAGCCAATTACTGCAGCTGGGATTCTTCCTCTAGATTCCATGATAACTAATTTTTCAAATCATTTCCCTCAAAATACACATTTCGAATATGTGTTGAGGCGGCTATGGAAGGTTGCCCAGACCCATCCGCGTTTCTTCTTATGTGAACTCCACCCAAATGCTGTACTCGAAATTCTAGACAATGTCGCTGGGCTGAGTGTATCGGATAAGCTTGTTTTCTTATCGGCACCAACGTCGACAGCTGACCATGAAAGTTCGATAGCGTTACGAGCCTTTGCAACCTGCGTTGCGCAACATAAAAGCGGGGCTCTACTTGATATTCCAGAACTACATTTGGAGATTTTAGATGCCCCTGTTTCTGGTGATAAAAACTATTTACATTCTTTAGAGTTTCTTCACCGCTCACTGGTACTCTATCTTTGGCTGAGTTTTAGAGTCGGGGGCATTTTCACAGATAGAACTCTTGCCACTCATGTGAAGGAACTTGTTGAAATAAAGATGGATAGAGCTCTTACCGAGTTCTCAGCCAACTCAGCGTTACGCAAGGCTTCTTCATTGCGAAAACAGATTGCTTTGTTAAAGCAAATGGCCTCTCAAGAAACCCAAAAGCCACAGGGCAGCGCCGACCCAACGCAAGAAACACCAGATCAAGGCCAATTGGAAACGCTGGCAACACTCGCAACTTGAGCGATACGGAAGAGGTGCTTGGGTATCTTCTCCTGTTTACCTCACTGATGCAAGTCCGTGGCCCCATAAATACCCAGACTCATACGCTCCTGTTGTTAAAATGTTGAATCAATGCCATCATAGTATCTCTAGCACTGTCCCAGCCTTTAGTTTAAGGCTCCAGAATTAAATTATTCAACTTTAAAGTTCTCAATCCTGGTACTCCGTATAGCTAATTTTATGAGCAAGAAGCTGTGTACGGAGTACGGAGTAGAGAGTAATTTGGCTGTGGATATTTTGTATGAAGTACATCCCTATATACGTGCATAGTTATATCGAGCGAACATTGAAGTGTGCATATGCTGGCAGGGCAGCGCGGTCCCCTATAGTACAGACGAACTCTTTCTCCTATTCTTTGAAGGCTTTTATTCATGGACATGAAGTTAAACTGGAGTAGAAGTTAAATTTCGGATATCGGTATAATAATATTCCGATCGCCAATTGATCAAAGGTACGGAGTACGGAGTACTCCGTACAGAGTATCTATCTGCAAACTAAGTAAGACGGCAGCCAGCCGTTTTCACAATTACCACAGTCATGGACGACCTTCAATCCCTGGAACTTTTGTCCCTGGTAGCGAGGGTGACAACAGAGCTTCAGAATCACTTAGGCATATGTGACAAAACCCTCGCCGAGTTCGTCATCGACCAGCACCTAAAATGCGGCGGATCATTTAAAAACTTCAAAAGCTGTCTCGAAGCTATGGGAGCCGACTTTCCGCAGAGTTTAATCGAAAGTATAGATCGCTTAATGCTAGCGATGCATCCGAAATATAAATCGAACCGGAATGCCGCTCAAGAAGAACCTTCGAAAGCTGATAACGACCAAGTGGCAGGGCTGGATGATCTGGAGCGGAAATCAAGACTGTTTAAAGGACTAGCCGTACCAGATAGGGAACTTAAATGGGATGAGGATGATTCCCCAGAAAATGGTGCGAAAGGGGACGTTATGGACGATACCTTTGCGATGCTTGAAGGCTTAGCTGAGAAAGCTAGAACTCGCGACAATGGGACCTCGAGTAGGAAACGAAGTAGGAGTTCAGATCATGATGATAGTATCCAAGGTAGTCGGCGACGAGGAAAATATAGGTCTTGCTCCCCATCACAAAGCAGTCAACGGCACCCCGCGCAGGGTAGTTCCAATCACGAAGCCTCGAGCACAAAATACACCCGCAAGGATCCCAGGCATGACGATGATTTCAAATACCGGGGGAGTCAACGAAACCATGACGATCGTGAGTGTTTTCGGAGACCTCCTAGCCCGGAACTCGACGAACGACCAATCCTCTATAAAATCTATAATGGCCGAGTAACTGGAATAAAAGACTTTGGTGCATTTGTTAATCTGCAGGGTGTTAAAGGTAAGGTTGATGGTCTTGTACACGTTTCCGCAATGCAAGACGGCGCCAGGGTCAATCATCCATCCGATCTCGTGGCGCGAGGGCAATCGGTCAAGGTCAAAGTTTCTTCTATACAGGGCTCGCGTATCGGATTATCGATGAAGGAAGTAGATCAAGTGACAGGACGTGATCTTGTTCCACAAAAGCGCATTGCCTCTGGGGCGAACATGGAAAGGCTAGATGGGGCAGGTATTGATGACCGTTACGGCAATCTCAGCTCCGGAGTCCCGGTAATAGAGGATGATCATATTGGAAGAGGATCCAGAGGCAAAAAGCGCCTAAACTCGCCTGAAAGATGGGAGATCAAGCAGCTTATAGCTTCTGGTGCCGTTTCAGCAGCAGATTACCCTGATATCGATGAGGAATACCAAGCCACACTTCGAGGAGAAGGAGAATTTGAAGAAGAAGAAGATGTAGACATTGAAGTTCGAGACGAAGAGCCTCCTTTCTTAGCCGGACAGACTAAACAGTCTCTGGAGTTATCTCCAATTCGTGTGGTCAGGGCGCCAGACGGGTCACTAAATCGCGCTGCGATGACAGGAACTACACTGGCTAAGGAAAGGCGAGAACTTCGTCAGCAAGAAGCCCAAGATAAGGCGTCAGAACAAGCAGCTCAAGTAGATCTGAATGCTCAATGGCAGGATCCCATGGTCGCACCAGATCAAAGGAAGTTTGCCTCTGAATTGCGGATAGTCCAGAAAACCGAAACGATTCCTGAATGGAAACGAGTGACCCAGAGCAAAGACGTTTCTTACGGAAAGAGAACAAATATGACCATTAAACAGCAGCGGGAAAGTCTTCCGGTGTATAAATTCCGCAAACAACTACTTGAAGCCGTTCACAAGAATCAGCTCCTTATTGTTGTCGGCGACACTGGTTCGGGAAAAACGACACAGGTTACTCAGTTTCTGGCTGAGGCTGGGTTTGCAAACAATGGTATGATTGGTTGCACTCAACCTCGACGAGTTGCTGCTGTCTCGGTCGCGAAACGTGTTGCTGAGGAAGTCGGTTGCCAGCTTGGTCAAGAAGTCGGGTACACCATTCGTTTTGAGGACAGTTGCAGCCCCGATACGAAAATAAAATACATGACTGATGGAATTCTTCAACGAGAAATTCTTTTAGACCCCGATTTGAAAAGGTACTCTGTGATCATGCTCGATGAGGCTCATGAAAGAACTATCCCAACTGATATACTCTTCGGTCTCCTAAAAAAGACACTTAAGAGAAGACCAGATATGAAATTGATTGTTACATCCGCTACTTTGGATGCGGAAAAGTTTTCGGAATACTTCAATGGATGCCCCATTTTCACCATACCAGGTCGGACTTATCCAGTCGAGATTATGTACTCGCGCGAACCGGAAACGGATTACCTAGATGCTGCTCTTGTTACTGTGATGCAGATTCATCTTACAGAACCATCTGGAGACATTCTTCTCTTTTTAACCGGCCAAGAAGAAATCGACACAAGTTGTGAAATTCTCTATGAGAGGATGAAAGCTCTTGGTCCCAGTGTACCAGAATTGATCATTCTCCCTGTCTACTCAGCTCTTCCCAGTGAAATGCAGAGCAGGATTTTTGAACCCGCCCCCCCAGGGAGTAGAAAAGTAGTTATTGCTACAAATATTGCTGAAACCTCAATTACTATTGATCAAATTTACTATGTCATTGACCCTGGCTTTGTGAAGCAGAATGCCTATGATCCAAAGCTGGGCATGGATTCGCTTGTTGTCACCCCAATATCACAGGCCCAAGCAAAACAACGGGCTGGTCGTGCTGGGAGGACGGGCCCCGGTAAATGTTTCCGCCTATACACAGAAGCTGCATTCCAGTCTGAGATGTTACCTACATCAATTCCCGATATTCAACGGCAGAATCTATCTCATACAATATTAATGTTGAAAGCTATGGGAATCAATGATCTATTGCACTTCGATTTCATGGACCCGCCACCCACAAACACTATGCTTACTGCTCTTGAAGAGTTGTATGCTCTTTCGGCACTTGATGACGAGGGCTTATTAACAAGACTTGGTAGAAAAATGGCTGATTTTCCAATGGATCCTGCTCTTGCAAAAGTACTCATTGCCTCTGTCGACATGTGCTGCTCGGAGGAGGTACTTAGCATTGTTGCTATGCTTTCAGTTCAGAACGTGTTTTATCGGCCAAAAGAAAAGCAGCAGCAAGCAGACCAGAAGAAGGCCAAGTTTCACGATCCTCATGGCGACCACCTCACGCTTCTCAATGTGTACAACGGCTGGAAGAATTCTCGATTTAGCAATCCATGGTGCTTCGAAAATTTCATTCAGGCGCGGCAAATGCGCCGTGTCCAAGATGTTCGTCAGCAATTGGTCAACATCATGGAAAGGTACCGCCACACAATTGTATCCTGCGGACGGAACACTGTGAAAGTGCGCCAAGCTCTCTGTTCGGGGTATTTCCGGAACTCCGCGCGTAAAGACCCGCAGGAAGGCTATAAGACGCTGATTGAAGGCACGCCAGTGTATTTACATCCCAGTTCAGCGCTCTTCGGCAAGGCAGCAGAGCATGTAATTTTTGATACCCTTGTGCTGACAACAAAGGAATACATGCGTTACACGACCGTGATTGAACCAAAAGTACGTTTCAGATTCATGTTTCTCACATATATTATAGAAAGATACTAACAATCGTGTTCCCAGTGGCTGGTAGAAGCAGCGCCAACATTCTTCAAGGTCGCAGCAACCGATCGTCTCTCTAAACGAAAGAAAGCCGAACGTATCCAACCATTGCATAACCGGTTTGCGGGTGAAGACGACTGGCGTCTATCAGCACAAAGACGACAAGGAAGAGGTGGTGGTGGTGGAACATGGGGTTAAGACTTGCAAAATTCATACATACTGTACATATGATCGGCTGGTTTCCGGGATGCATTTAATGGCGTTAGATTCGTACCTGTTCCTTATGGTTCCTTGAGAATATCAATACACTACTTCTCTACGAGATGCTCAAGGGTGGGGTCTGTTGATTACTATACGAAAAAGGAAGAAAAAAGCCTGTTACAGGCCATAAGCACCGACCACAATCGAAGTACTGCCCAGTGGATGTGCCCCTATTTATCCGACCCGCAATCGCCGAAGTCTGTACATACATTAGACAGCTCGCGTACATAAAAGTTGAGAAAGAATATGTATCGATAATGTCAACGCAACGCCAAACAATCAAAAGGAGTAGCAGACGCCCATTAACCGTAGAATAAAGCACCAGTGATACCTGAACCCAATAATCCGTTAATCATCAATCATCCAGGATGGAGCAGCGAAGAACAGCAGAGGCAGGAATGCTAACCATGAACAAAACACATGATCAAAAAGGCGGCCGAAAAGCTGGTTAAGGATATATTTAGTTAGGCAGAAAGCGAGCAAGGTCCCGGCTCCGATCACTCCGACACCGTTCCAAAAGCAAAGAGAAAAAACGAGTTTCAAATAGTACAGCTCTGGCAATTGCAAACAAATAAACATGGCACATTAAGTCAACTGGGATAGCAACTCTGATTGTGTAGACATGGGTCTATTTTCTGTAGCGAATAGCTTTATCTTGTAGTCCAAGATAATAACACCCGCAAAGTCACGTATCTTAGCGATAATGACCTGCCGGGCCCATCATTCCCGCATTGTTCCGTGGCCCAACTTGTCCATCTCCTGGGTTGCCGGTGAAATGCATAAACATGTCAAGTAGCTGCTTAGCAGATTGAGGGGGCGCCTGGTGAGGGCCTGATCCGTAGTGACCAGGATGTCCATGAGACATGCCCATCATTGCTTCATTTGAATGTTGCAGAGGAGGGAAACCTGGGCCAGGTGGCGGAGGAGGGGGTGGAGCATTCATGTGCAAGTAGCCAGGGGGTGGTAATATTCCAGGGGGCGGTGGAGCAAATCCGGCAGAGGCATTTGCACTCACGCCGCGCTGGAAAGGTGGGCGGTCAGCCGGTGCTGGAATTCCGGCCGGCAATGGCATTGGAGGGGCAGAGGCGTAAGACTGGTTCATATTTCGCGCTTGCGGTGTGGGCAGGCCGGGAGGGAACATGACGGGGTTTATCGAATTGCCTTGCTGAATAGGCTGGTGCGGCCAACCTGGGGGCAGCATCTGGTCCAAGCCAGGAGGACGGTGCATTCCCATAGAATGCTGTGGTGGGCCTTGGCGAATATCTGGAGGGTTACCGACTGTATGGCTGCCACCTGAGGCTCCAGGATAGGAGTGCATTTCTTCAAAAAAGCCTACTGGTCCTCCTGTTGGTCTCCGCCGTAGTTGGCTTCGCGGATCGTTGACATCTGGTCGGCGGAAATTTGAAAGAGTAGGGTCTTCCGCATACCCCGGCACCTTATGACTCTGGATTCCATGATTTCTGGCGACCGTTTCCGGCAAATTCTGGCTACCAGGGCGTTGCAGAGGATGGTGGTTTTGACCAGCTGGTACTTGCGCAGCGATTTTTGACTGCTGCATGAGCTGCAATAGAAGGTCGGTGCCATTACGTGGGGCATTGTTGTCTTTGGATATCTTTATCGGGGCGGTGTTGTCTGGGCCTGGTGGGACTCTGTCCCTTGGAACCTGCTCTTGAGCATTCATATACTCAAGTCGCTCAAAATTTTCTTGTGCCGCTGACTTCGGTGGGTTCGATCCCCTTTCAAGAGCTGTTTGCAGTAGAGAAACAGTCTGAGGTTGAGGTTGGCTGGGCTCTTCAACCCGCGGAGTTGCATTCCGCGATTTGTTGCCGCCAAGCATTTGGAGAATCCGCTGAAACCCTTCTTGATCGGCGTCGGTTGAAGAAGGCCGGGGAATATTCACTTGAGAGATTTCCGCCTCTTTCGGCTCTGCTTGGGTATGAAAAAAACCTGCAAACCTCGAAGCCTTCGCTGGTTTCGGCGCAGTTTCCTTTCTAGCATCAATATCACCTACAACTGCATCTTGGCCCGATTTAGCTGTTCCCCAGAAGTCAAAGAAGTTGTCCAAACCAGTCTCTGCGCGGAAGGACGGTTCAAAGTCACTGAAAATCTCACCCTCGCGTCTCATCTCTGACTTTTTGGCCTCCTCATTGGGCGGTTCTGGGCCACTCTCTTTCTTCACATCAGTGGGGGTTTGCCCTGCCCCAGCTTTCATTCTTTCTTTCCATCGTTGGAAATCTTCTTGAGTGTGGGCCTCCTTCGTGTCAGTACGACTGGTAGAGTCCATCCATTCAGGGTCTTGTTCTTGTTTTACAGACCTGCCCCAGTCGCGGTCTTGACCATGTAAACCACGACGCCATTCCCGATTTCGAATGGGCGTCTTTTCTTCCTCTGCATCTACAGTATCTTGAGTCTCTCCGTCACGATGCCATGGCTGATCATGTCTTGTTCTGCCCTGAGTATCCCGACGGCCAGAGAATCTTCCCTGGTCTCTGTTTGAGCGCTCATTTCCATCTTGCTGATCACGACTTTCCCTGCCATCCCAACGTTCTATATCACCACTTCTCCTCAGCCTCCTGTCACGATCTTCATCTTGTCCAAAATTACGTCGTTGTCTACCGTTCCAATCTTCTCGGTCCTCCCGGGTTATTCGACGGCCATTGGCCTGAAGCGCTCGAGTATCTCTTCTGTCGAAATCCCTATCCTTATCGCCGTACTCCCTCTCCTTAAAAAATTTCTCACGAAGGCCGCCATAGCGGTCTTGTTTCGGGTCATCTTGGCCATTGGTTTTTGGCAGGGATTTATCTGTGGTTTCCACTGTTTTGCCCGAGTTTCTAGTAGCAGATGCAAATGACGTTTTCGGGGGGCCGAGAACAAGATTTTCTGGAAAAGGTAGTTAGTACGCACACTTGACAGACGCATGAAATTAGGGAGTCTCACCTGAACCGGAGGCCCGCGAGATGTGACGTGCTTCAAAAAGACTGGACCGTCGTTGGTGATTTGTTTCTGGTTGAGTTGGTTGGTCTCTGGTGCTTTTCCTCTGGGTCGTGGGGTCTGGGATAGGGCTGCTGGGCTGTTAGCAATGAGTTCTCAGCAATACAGATGCCAGGTTAATGTAAAGTTTACCCCATCCATTCTTCAATAGGTGGCAGGCTATCCGGCCTAGCTACCAAGGGCGAATCGCGAAGCTGCAAAAGCTCTTCAAGTTGATACCGTATTATGGCCATTATTGGTAGAGAGGGTTTGCTGCTACCTGCGCCTCATGGCACAGTGAAGTTAAAAAGGCAAAACAAACCAGAGTCAATGGAGAGGGAAGCCAAAGCAGTATGGCAATCCACAAGGGAAAACAGGTTACTAATTTTCTTGAGAGTCCAGGTGACGAGGAGAAGGAGGTTGGGCGACGTTGGTGAGGAGTTGCGGAGCAAGGAGGGCCACGGCCCAAAAAGTCGGTGTGTAAGGAATGCTGAAGTCGAGTCTGAGGCAAGAGGTGCAGATTGAGCACAAATCGAACGGTGTTTCGGGCGCCAGGTGTGTAGCAAGGGGTTGATATTGTGATGGGCGTTGGGAGTTGCGGTGGGCGATGTGATGGACAGGCGACGATGACTTTAGAATTTTTTTGGGTCCCAAACAGGAGCGGCTTCTGCCACCACCAGCAACACCAGCCCGCAATGCAGGCGCTGACCCGCCGGAATCGCAACGAGAACACGCATTGACTACGGAGTACAGGTTGAATACTGGCGAATGTCTCATGCACGAGCGGCCCCCGGCGTCTGGCTCATTTAATTACAGTGCAACGCTACTATGTGCGAACCCGTCATGTTCCCTCGGGCATCTCGATAGCCTCTCTAGATAAAGATGAGCCGCTCCAGCGATCTATCCACTCCTTGTCGCAGCACTCGTAGAGCTCGCTAGCCAGCGCCTGCAGAAGACCTTGCCGGCTGCCGCTTGTTGCGCTCTGAACGTGGATCCAGCTGAGAACAGCAGCTCGGGTCAGAAGCGTTGTGCTGCCACCGGTCTCACAGGCGCGGAAAATCAAGTGCAGAATTTTCTTCCGCAAGCCGTCCGAAAGGTGGGGTGAGCTATAGTAAGAGAATAAGCGCTCGAAGATACCGGCACGGCGATAGATGTCCAGGTCCTAGGGAGTCATCAGTCGGGGGCTTTTAGCATCGGAAGCACTGTCGTTACTTACCTTCGCAGTCCTGAGGCCATTAATAAAGAGATCCAGCAACCAGCCAACTTCCTCATTATGTCTATCATCATACTCAGGCTCGTGCAGCAGAATCTTGTCAATCCAATATGAAGGAAGTTTGGCAAGCTCCCAGAACGGCCCTTTATTCAGGAAAGAGTTTGCTTTGGCATATAGCTTCTGTAGTGGATTCATGAGAATTAGTAGCAATCGAGCACCAAGCTCGCCGGCGATGTATGGCAAAGGAGTCTCCACTCCAGCTTGCTTCACTGTTTCCAGCAGTTCCCCCATTAAAACATAAAGATGTTGTCGCTCTGAATGACCGGATTCCTGGAGCAGAGATTAGCACATCAACTGGTCTAATATGTTGTTTATAAAACGCACCTTTATTTTGGCCATGAACCGCGAAACTCCAATCATAGCTTGTCTTCGGATTTCTTCATGCTGAGAACAAAAGCATAGTATCAATTCGCCTACGTAACCTTGATCGAGCGCAAATTCGAGGTCCCCTTGCTCCCATCGGTGGATTCCAGGGTGTGATTCATCCTCCGCAGCAACCCTGCCAAATGTATCCGTAAGAGATACTTGGATCTTTAGTTTGGCATCTGGAATGGATGGTGTGATGTTTTCTGACAATATTTCCTTGCTGTCATTTTTGTCATGACTTTTTAATGCTTTTCTAAGCGTCGAACGACTTTCCTTGGATTTAGTTTCTTTCATCATAGCGTCTCGAAGGGTTTCTAGCAAGTGTTTATCTTCCCCAGCGGCCCTCAAACCCTGAAAAAACCCGGCAATCCATATAGCAATGTTCAATTCTTTATCTGCGTTTTCAGCACCAACAATAAATGACCATTGCTCACAAACTGTTATCGCAAGCAAGCTCAGTCTTCCAGAATTGTTTTGTAATGAGTATGGAACAAGGTCCAGATAGAATACGGGCTTTTTGACAAGTCTGACAATACAGTTGTCTATAAAAGTCAACTGGTCGCCAAAGGTATTAGCAGATGACACTTCAAAGCCTTTGAAAAGAGCATCAAAGGCGTTGCCATCAGTCAGAACTGAGTTTTGAACGAGTACATTTCGTAAAAGTGGTTTAATGTTGTCTAATGGTGATTCTGCTGACGTGCTTGCAACGACTCTCAAGACCGATGTAAAAGCGGAAAATTGCATGGATTCTAGGGACGCCGTTAGCAATACGCAAAGAAGATGACAAGTGTAACTATATTACCTGGTTTCTGCCACCATCGAATTGTTGGGGATTCTTGGGCGATAACCAGGAGGCTTCGCAGCTGGCCAAGAAGAAGGTGTTTGTTATTCTCTAGAAGCTCGGCTTCGTCTAGTCGTTTCAGTACACTGACGAGTGTCAAAGAAATGTCGAATTTCTCCTCAAGAGCGACTGTTGGGATGACTTGGTAAAACAGTGAAAGTAGCTCCAATATGGCATCTTGTTGTTGCAGATTATCGCTATGCGTCTTTCTGAATGTGAGAATTGTATCTTTCATCGTGGGACATCTGCGGCAAAATTCAGCGACAAGCCTTGCAGCTGCTTGATCCCATAACCCTTGACCAGCTTCCCTTGAACCGCCAAACATTTTCAAAACAGTTTGAAGTTTGCGCAAAGCTGTCGCTGCGATTCGGATGGCAAATAAGGTCACAACATCCGCGTTTTGGTTCATACACCGTGTCAATATTTTCTGAGTTAGAGGGCGAGGAATTATACTTTCGATGACAACGGGAATGGGAGGTGGGATTTCTGGGGACGAACTTCCTTTCCAACCACATTGCACAGGCACTGGAAGCTGGATGACGGAGAATAGGAAAGCAGACTCCCCCAGCCAGTTTGGTGTAGGTCGGGGATCCATTGTAAACATCGTCCGTGTAGAAAAATAGTTATAAACAAGCTCAGGAGCGGCTGTAAAGATCTTCAGAAGCAATTCTATCTGCAACGTATCAGAATCTGGTCGCAAAGATTGTATCAATGCTGAAAGATTTCCATTTCGAACAGGTACTGATCCTTCGTATTTGTCGAAGTAAAGCGGCGAGTCAAGCCCGAGTGAGATGCATTCAGGATCATCTGGTGGAAGAACATCGGCAGTGGCCCCGAAAGGATACCATCCAGTTTCTGGAAGAAGGACTCCTTTCTCGTGAGAGGTGCAAATAGAAAGCATGAATTTATGGATTTCATTGGAGATCGATTCGTTATTAGTCGGGGGCTCGGGGGCATCTTTCTCGTATCCATAAAGAGTAACCAGCCTCTCCAGGTTTCCACGGTTGAGGAGACGACTTTTGGAATTTCGCGAGAGTGTTGAGTCACTTAAGACATATTTATCAATAGTAGTGATGATATCAACAACAATATCTCGGGAATCTCTGCGGATATCTTCTAAAAAGGATTTAATAAGCTTGCCTTGGGAAATCAACTCTTCTTTCGCAGCTGTAGCTTGGAACTTGAGGTTCGCCAATAAGTAACGCTGTGCAATACGTCGGAGTGTTGGCTTTCTTCGGTCTTCTGTATCATCGTCCAAGTCTATTTTCTGAGGGCCAAGAAAAATATCTAATCGTTTCAGAGTGATGTGGCGATTTGCATAGAGTGCTCTTGCCACAGCACCACCGTCGAAACCGACTACTTCTGTGAGTAATCGCAAACACGGTGATATCAGATGATCTCGAGTTTTACTCGCAGTAAGTCCCCGGTTGAGTAAGTTTAGTTGTTCTTTTTGTAGTATAAACTTGCACAACGCAAGTCCAAAATCCCTGAAGTTAAGTTGTCCGGAGACTGTTTTTAGAAACAGAGCGATGACTGAAGGGATTAAAGACAGCAGTGACTCTTCATTGTTGCTCTCCGCATAAGCCCACGTTTGGAAAAGATCGAGAAAGCAGGCTGTTGGCTTCCCTTCGGCATCTTTCACAGCTTGTGAGTCGCAGTAGCTCTTGAGAATTCGAAGGCTCTGAGCTTTGTCTTTCTCATTTTCTTCAGTCACAATTGACGATAGAAAACTCTTGAAGGCTCGGACACCTATCGTCTTATTAGGTTCCAAATCCAAAAATACCAAGACGGGTTGTTCGTGCCTTGCTTGACTTCTTGCGATACGCTCTGCTGAAAAGCTAGAAGGCTTCGAAGTTGGTGGGGAGAGGTAATTACAGGTGCCTGATCAATGACCGTTGAGAATTCGGGTATAATCTTTCTTCTCTTAGCCTGGGGCTGGTCATCGTGAAAATCGGCCATTCTACCTTTTCCTTTAAGCCCTGGAGGTAGCGTTTTGGAATCGGCTTGATGGTGAATAGTATACGGAGTAGCATAAAAAATTCACCCCAGCCCCATTCGAATGATCTGATTGGCCAACGGCTCTACCAGCAACAACAATTCGATCAGGCTGCTTTTCAACTTCATTTTCTTGTTACATAGTGAGCTACTACACAGCCCAAATATATAAATTGGGTGACGCCGTTTCAATCAATTTTTACGCACGTTCAGAAAGATATATAGCTACGCTAACTTCGTTCCTCTTGGTTCATGGGATGTATAACTAGTTACACGCATTGGAGATTGGAGCCTACACCCTTTTCGCTTTTCCTTTAACCCGTTCAACAAGTTGCTTAAGATCGTCAGTATCACGCTCCGTAAATGCTATTTCCTTCTGTTTCTTCTTTTTAGGCTCAGAAGCTTCATGGTTGGAGATTGTTTCTCCAACATGTCGTCGGCGTTTTCGACTTTCCTCCAACACGGCTTTCATGCCATCTGTTTGCTTGAACCGGGGGTTAGTAGGATCAATGGCATATTCATGACTCTCAAAAAGTCGCTGAAACCTTGCGTCGTTAACGTCTATTTTGAAATCATCGGCTGGGGTAATCTCGTTTTTCTTCTCCTTCTGGCGCTTTCCGGCTTTCCGTGCCCGTTTTTGAGCCCTCTCAATCTCGTTCATGTCAAAATGCTTAATATTCGAAACCTTGTCATCGACCATCAAGAGTTCTAGCTCAGCCCGTTGCGCAGCAGAAGCCACTTCATCGGCGTCACGTTGCTGGCGCAGCTTTCTCTTCTCTTCCTTTCGTTGCGCTGCTACCTTAGCTAAATCTAGCTCTGGGGCCGTAAAAAATGGATCTTCAAATCCCAGATCCTTTTCATCATTGGACCTCTGTTCACTATTGCCATCGTCTTCTTTAGTAGTCACGCCGGTTTTTTCGGCTTTCGATTTGGCCTTTCGCCGCTGTTTCCTCTCCCTCTCTTTTCTGATATATTTCTCTTTCGTAGTTTCTTGCTTTTCAGGCTCGTTTTCGAAAACAGAGTCTCGAGGGGTGTGTGCCGTCAACCCCGCTGAAAACGTAACCTCCATATCACCAATAGGTCCATTATTTTTCTCGAAGACCGAAGGCTCTTTACTAAGGCCAAGTAACGCTCGTATTTTCAAGCGTTCGGCATCTTTTTTGCTTAATTTGCTGCTATCACCTTCTTGGGCGCCATTGGCAGCTTTGAGTGCTTCATCTTCTGTATCGGAACTATCGCTGCCTAGATAGGCTTTTAGGTCATTTTCATCGATTTCTTTTCTGCTGCCTCTGAATGCTCTAGCTTGGGCAGCCTTCCTCCCTCTATCGTCTGTGTCCCAAGTTAGTTTGACCTTGCTGTGCTGCAGGGCATCGGTAACAAAGTCATTTGGTTTATATCCATCTGGAATCCTATGACATTCATCTCTTGGAATGTCATCAGTAAAGGTAGTGGGCTCAGGGACAAATCGAAGGTCGAAGAAATTCGCACTACTCATATATTCAGTGCCATCAACCGAATCGTAAATGTGTTTTGCAGTTTCCTTCGACGAACACGTCAATATAGCATAGAAATAACGAAGTCTCTCTAATTGATACTTTCGCAGTTGAGCAGAGTCAAAATCATGGCCTTCATCCTCTTTTAATATGGATCTTTTGATTTCCTCTTCTTCTTCTTCCTCCTTTTCCTCCTCTCCCTCCTCATTGTCGTCATCTTCTGGGTTGAGCTCAACCTGTGTATCTATTTTATTGAATATATTAACCGGCGGACCTTCCATCTCTTCTTTTTCAATTCTTTCTTTTCCAAATTCACTGGGATATACAGAAACGCGTAGAATCTTCCCACCTACGGGAAGAAAACTGGAAAAGACGGCCATTAAATCTTCTGCTCGTATATTATCCCAGTCTAGGTTAACTATTGCAATTCTTTCTGTGACTTCACCTAGAGGAACATCACCCGGTTGACGGTCAGGTAATTCGGCCTCTTCGGCTTCATCGGCTGTTTCGCCCACCTCACTTTCTTCATCACTAGAGCTTTCTTCCGACGAGGATGATTCCGAGAATCCGCCCTGTCTTGCAGGATCGTAATCTTCTCTTGAGATGCGGCGCAATTCCTTCTGAATTTCTTCATCACGGTCTACACTAATCTCCCTATCAACATCGTCTTCATCTAACCTATAGAACTTTTCTAGCTGCTTCTTCGTATCGTCGCGATGCAGCCTTCTTCCATATCTATCAACAGCCGCACTCTTTGAAAAATCCTTATCGTGAAATGCACGAGAGAACCGCTTGTCGACCTGGACGCGGGTGTGTTTCTTGCTGGGGAGCTTATATCGAGGATCAGACTGGATATTGGCAAAACGTGGATCAGCTATAGTGAGCATTCAGTGGTCAGCAAACAGCCGTTAATAATAAGATAAAGCGTCAACACCATACTAATAACATCTTGAACAATTTTGCCGGTAGGGTTTGTTTTGCGCCTCTTGGGCGAGGTTCTGGGATCTGGCATCAAAAAGAATTTGAGATGAAGAGTATAGTTTCCAAATCAATGAAGCTTCTATTAGGGAATATAAAGGTAATAGTAGAAATGATAACGCCTAGATTGTGAGAAATCAAATTAAGGCGGACAATTTTATTTTCGCTGAGAGTGGTCCGTGCATGCTTATCAACAACCTTATCTGGGCCGAACCCTACTTGATCGAAGTGTCTCGGTTACTCCGTACTCTGTACACTGTACTTGTAAGGAAAAGGACACTTCCAGACACAGTCAAACAATTAGCACAGCTACAGAAATCCTTCCAGATAAATATGTACATTTTTAATATCTACAGTAACAGTATTTGACAGAAGGTAATCATAGAGATTCAAGCAATACCTTGGCTGCCACTCTATTTCTGGAAAAGAACGGCTCTTGGAAATAGTGGGCCGTTATTTATCGGATGTTTCAGCTCGATACAAGTATGATAAACTCAGGTGCCTGAGATTTCTATACCTAAATACAGCTCTGAGTCAAACATCATTGTGATTTATATGGACTCCGGTCACTTAATGGGACAGCCGGCGTCGAAGATCGGCGTTCTGCCCGGAGATCGGGTGCTGAGCAACTTGAGTGAGAGCGCGCTGAATATGTTTCACCACCATGTCTAGAAATAGTTTAGCTACTGAGTGAAAGGAATAAGAAAAAGTATTGCGTACCAATGGCAGTTTTGTTCTCTATTCCCCGTGGAATAATAATGTCTTTTCCGAAGTCAGCCAGATATATCTTGTTGATTGTGTGATATGATATATGCGAACCTGATATCTGTCTTTGGGGCTCCACATATCGGGAATAAGACGGCTTGACAAACTTAAACCACTGTTTCAAGACACTTTCAATGGTGCGTCCTCGTTCCTGTACGTCCCGCGCGACTACACCGATTAGCAATCAACCAAGCGGGAAAGCCGTCAATTCTGCAGATCCTTACTCCTTCTTCCAAGGCAGACATCCATATCCGCTTCGACAAATATCTATACGTAAAGTTAGACGTTTGACGAAGAGTAGCCAATAAGGGCAACAGACCTTGAGATCCAACATCTCCAGTATTCTCAGGTCGGTGAATGCCAAAATTCCCTCTAGAATAAGTACCGGGGGCGGGTAAAGCGAATCTGTTTGCGCTTCTCGCTGATGCTTTGTGAACGAATAGATCGGTATCTCGACTTTTCGGCTTTGCTATTTGTCAGTTGCTTATACCTTGACAAACAAGCGGCCAGTCGAGTCTGCAGTACCCTAACTTCAAATTGTACAAGGTCTCGACCAAAATATCGAAATCGATGGCGTCGGGAGAGTCGAAATCATACTCATCGCGATGGGCTATGGCATTTTGCTGCGGGGTAAGACTTTTATAAAAATGGTCCTTTTGCCGCCCTTCCGCGTCAGGGATATTTATAGAAGATAGAAGGATAGGAAGCTATCTACCATGACCAATATGACAGCTCCAGGGAGATTCAGGGATTTTAAGATTTCGGCAGCCACGGAGGACTTCCCAGACCCAGAACTCCCGGCAATTCCTATAATGCTCATATTCCCCATTTGTCGGGAGCACCAAGGCTTTGTTTCTGCCATTTTCAAGCTCACCGATCAAAAATATCGCAAGCACGCGAGCAATTTCGCAAAGTATACTCGCTCCCCAAAAAGAACCTAGATTTGCCCAAAGATCATTCTGCGGTAGCTAGAAGGTATGGCCGATATTTCTCTGGGAAGAAGATACGAAATATACAGAGCACACCTTACGTTGGCAATGGAGCCTCGTCGTCTACTGGGCCTCCAAAATCCGGCGCGGCAAAGGATCAGGTGACTAAGCCTCCAGTATAAATCCACGTGATAACGCCAAGATATCGTGTCACGCTAACTAGCCAGATCAAGCGAGCTCAGCCAATTTCTGATTTTCTCTTCCTCAACTTCCACCACAACAGTCCTCTGCAGGGAACCTCGACTTTGCATGCTGTCCTCAACAAGCTGTATCCCACATTTTAATTTCTTTTCTTTGCTTCACTAATCTCGTCATCATGGCTTCTACTAACGTTGTATGTCTTCAGGCCTGCCATCCGGCCAGTGACCCTTCCAGGATGCTAATCAGCAATCCCAACAGATCTCTCCAGCACCTTCTACCACCACGCCAACTCGGCATCATTTCGAAAGAAAGGTGGAGGAGGTGAAACCATCCAAAACGTGAGTTGATTCCAGTCTTAACTTTTGTATTCAAGTCGCGCATGATGCATCCAATCAAATCAAATGGGAATCTCTCTGAACTTTTCATTGTGGAGAATCTTTTAATATCTCGTATTTTCTGAGCTTTTATTTCAATTCACATGATTGTCCGAGCATATATTTCTTTTGGTATCATTGCTAACAAATGTTTCAAGTGACATCAATTATCTAGTCATGAATTACCTTGTCACAAATGGATATCCTTTGGCAGCAAGGAAGTTTGCTCTTGAGGCTAACATTCCACCTCAAGTAGACGTAGGTTCTATACAAGAACGAGTGGAAATTCGCAATGCAATATATTCTGGCAATATAAAAATCGCAATTGAAAAAATGAACGAACTCAACCCACTGGTAAGTTATCTCTATCCGCTTTCTGACTAATTCTGTTGCTCTTTTTTTGTAATGATTATATCTGTTTCATGCACCACTCATATACCTTTATGGTGTTGATGAAAAAAACTCATCTTCAGTCCTCAGTATGACATACAATGCTTTTATACATGTTTTTTTCAGCCACGGTTTAGGTCTCGTACGTTCTAACAGACTCACTAGATTTTGGATTGTAACCCATCTCTTCATTTTTCTCTTCTTCAATTGCAATTGATCGAGCTGATACGCGAGTGCACGTCAACTCCGAATGGTGATATTTCACCCGCACTGGACTTTGCAACAGCTCAACTGGCTCCACGTGCTCCAACGAATCCGCAATTTCTGGAAGATCTTGAGAAGACCTTGTCTCTCTTGATTTTCCCTGCGGAGAACTTGTCTCCAGCACTAGCGCCACTCCTTGATCCCGCACTACGGAAATCAGTTGCAGCTCGTGTAAATGAAGCCATCCTTCAGAATCAGGGTGCCAATCATCAAGCTAGGCTTCGTAATCTGGTGAAGTTACGAAGATGGGCGGAAAAGAAAGCACGTCTTTTGAAAAAAGATATTCCAAGTACACTTGACATTGGGCTTGACCATGACAGAATCCCAAAAACTAATCAAGAAGTTTCGAGAGACAATAACACCGTTAATAATGGGGATACTGGCGACGACGTTGTCATGCAAGAATCAACAGATGTGGATATAATAATATAATAGGCGACACAATGCTGGACATCAATGATGCATCATGACTGGCGGGGCTGCATGTACGGGTTTCAGGTATTGGTTTAGCGGGGCGCAATGGGGTATCTGCTCGAACGGTTGGCATCTTCTAAACACAAAGGCGTAACATTTCCTTAAGGGGTTGAGTGCATGTTCTAAGTAGGGTATTCAGGCATCAATAGCATTATAGTTAAATTTCTCTCCACCATATCTATTTACCAAAGTCCTCATTAATGGTAGACTGGCCTCCCAAATACTCTTACACCGGCCGCTTCTTTTTTACCTTCATTTCGCTCCACAACGTCTGCCATCTCACAAAATGACGGATCTATGTTCGAGAGATTGGATTGGTACGAATTGAGTAATATTCTAATCGGTGAAGTACAAGGTCCGAAACTTAACTCGGGTTCATAAAGAATGCTATTAAGTTTAATATTCAAGGCGTAGTTATATAGTTAGTTACCTAGTAAAAGAAAAATTTCACTAAAAGTTCATCATATCTCTTCCAAACATTGCTCGTTTTGCCCAATCCATAGCTAACATGACTCTTGTTCTTAAACTAACACTCTGTGCGAAGTAGATACTACGCCATAGATATACAGCTAACAATCCACCTCCCCAACTTAGTCCATTAATATCAAAGACCGCCGCGTTACCAATATATGCCAAGCTTCCAAGATGTTTATACTCGAAGGCAGCGCACACAGTTTCATCTAAAGTGCCGTAATCGATCTCATTAGCCTTGAGGTCAGGCGATGCAGCTGCCATTTTATTGAATTTTCGACCTAGATATTGGCCTTGTTGGTTTGCGCGTTGGGCGGTAGCAGGTAGTGACGTGAGTTTTGTATCAATTTGTGAGAGAAGTTCGTGCAGCTCGTGAAAATCGAGGGTGCCGCTACGGTCTTTATCATATTGCTCGAACAGGCGATCGACTCTCCTAAGGTGGTTGGATGCCTGCGGGAACCGTTTCTTGACACGGCTAGCAACATCTCGCCACTCCGTAAAAGTAAGGTGTACCTTTTCTGGATCACGCCCTTTCTCCCAGGCGACATTACGGAGAAAACTGACGAGATGATCTGCAACATTATTTTGGACAGTAGAGCAATCTCCAATAGCATAAACATCGCCAACTGGGGCACCAAGAAGTCGAAGATGAGTATCAGTTTCGAGGGCGTGACGGTTATTTTGTCCTTCAAGCTTTCTCGAGAGCGTCTGGCAAAATTGAGTCTGGGCTTCAGAAAGGTCAGTTGACAGTAGATGAACGGTAGATGACAGTGCACGGAAATTTACTCACAAACGCCAGTAGACCATAGACAAAAGCCCATGGGAATTTCTTTAACAATAGACTTGCCGTTTTCTATCTGAGTAAAGAGAATTTTATCTTGCTGTACTTCTTTAACTCTTGAATTAGTGAGAACTTCTACTTGATCATGGGCGAATCTTTTCTATGAGAAAAATTAGCGAATATGGGTTTGGCGACAGTATTATCCACATACCTCAGCATACAAAGAAACAGTTTCATCATATGTGTTTAAGATATGACTTCTGCTCTGGATAAGGTGAACGGAAATTTCATTACGCAAAATCTTTGGGAACGAGCGGAAGAGGTCCTCATTCAACATGTCGAATAGCTCCGCCGCAAACTCCACACCAGTAGGACCGCCTCCACAAACAACGAAAGACAGGAGTCTCTTTCTTTCTGCATCACTGGTGGTAGGCAGGCAGGCAAGCTCAAGATTATGAAGCACCTTGTTCTTGATTTGTCTTGCATCATCAATCGATTTTAAAAAATTGCAGTACTCAAGACCTTTAACCCCATGAGGATTTGTCGTTGAGCCTAAACGGAGTATCAGCATCAAAAATGCGTTTAGGACACTACTGTACTTTCTTACCGACTCCAATCACCAATTTGTCATAGGGAAGGTAGAAATTTTGCCTGACACCATTGCCATCGATTTGCGATACCTCCACAAGCTTCTCTGAAAAATCCACGTCGACTGCCTCTGCTCGTAGAAAATGGCCCCTCACACGCTGCACGATCAACCGTATAGGTTCCACTAAGGATCGCAGGCCCAAAGTTCCGACAGTTGCAGAAGGAAGCATGGGTGTAAAAAGAAAGTAATTAACTGGAGATACAACAGTGATATGGTAGTCACCGGGGTTTAATGATTTCAATAGCGCAACACTGCCCCAGCCAGTTCCAAGGATTACCAGTTTCGGTTTGTTTTTCTGTGCCTGTTTGATATCAGAGTCATTATCATCGACCAAAGCGTCCGCGATTGGAAGATTGTTTGGTCCACCACGCCTCGGATTCAGAGCTATTTCTGAGACTGGAACATCTTCAACCAACGGGTCATTTGCGTAAGTTGAAGCATCGTAGATAAAAAATGCTAGTACTATTCCCGCACTAACAAGAACAAACATGCCACTATATGCAAAGGTATTGAATATGATCTTCTTGAGTCTAGAACCTGGTTTAATATTACCATTGGTCGAAAGATGCCTGGTCGAGCCATAGCAGCCAGGCCGATGTCGCGAGAAAGTGGGTGGAACGACGCATCGCACTTCGCGTGGCGTACAAAATATATTCGATTGGCAAGAAATATGTAACAACCGGTACGAGGAATTAGTGAAGGGGGAGGACAGAGCACTTTTTGGCAGAGCTGCGCCTTTTTGTGACACCCTGCAAAGCTGGGAGCTTGCTCGACGTCCAAAGGGTGAAGCAAACATGAGTCAAACTGCCTATGGCATTTGCTATGAAGACAGCGCGGAGGAATAAAGGGAAATAAAATGACGGATTCTCCTCATTGAAGCATGAGCAACAAATAGAGAGAAATGACTGACGTCGGGTTGGGGTTGAGGCGGCTTCCGGCAATCCCCTGAGCCTTACGATGTCATAGTGGAGCTGGAAACACGTGCCAGGAAACAAGCATTGCCAAGACCCTAAATGGGCGACGCTTATGTCATCATACCTTGTGAGCAGAGACTAGTAGGTGAAAGTGGTATTGGTGAGTTCCATCTATCAAAATGAGTATGTACGGAGTAAACAAAAATATATCGTCCCGCCACCTAAATATGCTTTCTAAATATGTCAAGAAAAATTTTCCTCGATTGAATGCAAAGCCGCGCCAGCTGCACATCGAGTTTAGAGCGTATTCACCGTGTCTCATCCCGTTCATAATGCTGACTTGCCATTGTTCCACCAGAGGAACGCCGATTGAAACATAAAGCACGAAAATATGAAAATCATGCGCCATTACCCATAATGCCTCGCCGTTTTCAATCAAGAACTGCGTCGTTATCCGAGCCAGTGCTGCCTCTCTTTTTTGCGTTTTTGCCTTTCCCTTTCTGCTTCGGCCGTTTCGGAGCATTTCCACTAGAAACAGAGCTCCTTCGTTTCCCCAACTTTGACCCATTGGACGGTGCAATAATGGTACCAACATCCACCAATTCTGTTGTGGAGTCATAGCCGTTTCGATCATCATCAGCAGTAACTTTCAGTTCATCATCGATCGCCATCAGAGTTGCGAATTCTCGGCAAATCGTTATCATACCCTCTGCGTTTTCAAGACATGCCATAGTCTTTGCCATTGCATCCCATAAGCGTTCGCTGGAAACACCCTGAACTTTACTTACAGACTTATTAAGCTCCTTTGCCCCAGCCTTGCTTTCTTTAGGGAGGGAATGGAAGCTAATGCCATAGAGCCGTCGGAGATACGATCTGGTCTCCCATAGTAGTGACAATGCTGCAGCCGCGGTTGCCAATTGTTTCAGGGTATCCGGATCAATGTGCTGTGGTTCCTTTTCTGGAGCGGTAGAATTGTCAACTTGAATTTGATGTTCTGTATTTTCAAATTTTACTGGGAAAATATCCGTTTCAATTGCGTGAGCGACGGTAGTACCAGTGGACGCAACGATCCGCTCCATGCACGTGACAGTAGCAAGGAGCTCTCCAATCTGCGCATATTCGAAGAAAGCTAGATTCTGACACACAAACCTTGCAAGTAAAAGCTGTTCTGGAGGATTGCCATTGATATCGAGTTTACGTGGCTCAAAGTCAACCTTTGAGCAGAGGTTTGTCAAAAACTTCTTCTGATATCTGCTATTGCTAATTTTAATAATTTCGAATAGGGGCGCGAGTTTGGCCGTAAATGGCCTAGTCAGGGCTCCTGCAGGATCGCCAACGATATCTCGTTGATAGTAAAACGCTTCTTGGACGGCTCTCATGTATTCGCGATCAAACATAGACTCATGCTGCTGATGAAGCATTTTGTGCGTTTCAAAAGCGATGCTGGAGATTTTGGTATTGCTAGAGGTTTCCAAAGCGACAAGAACCCCGGCGCATTCTTTGGGATGGATGAGGCCCTGGCGATTCACGCTTGCAATTAATTCAATTGCTGTCAGTGCATGGGAGTTTTCTTTTGAAAGAGCAGCATGGAGCATTTGCTGCAAAAAGTGCTGAGCAATTAATGCTGCTGCCCCATCATTCTCGCTAGCTTTAAGGGAGCCTCCAAGCCTAGTAGCATCACCATCAGCATCGACTCCTGCAGTTTCGATGAGCTTTTCTGCTTTCCCTTCATGTATGGAGAAAAAAGCCAAAAATCCTTTAAGTACGATATTCTGTAAATCTGCGCTGTCTTCTTTGAAAACAGACGTAAATGCGGTTCTAGCAGGTTCACGACCATACTGGGCAGGCCATGTCTCACACACTGCCCCCAAACTCTCGAGCGCCATGATTCTCAGTTCTTGGGTGTATTTCGACGATGCGAACGGCGAAATGAAATCAACTATGAGTCCGGCCACCGAAGTTGACTTCATTTGAGGAAAGGCATGTGAGAAAAAGGACTGGAAGGATTCCAGATCACAGTGTTTCCCTACGCAGCCTGCAATGCGGATATAACTTCGTACTCGCCCAAGTGCATCCGCGTTGATCGAAGAGTCTGAGTTGATACTCGCGGCTTGATTAATGCCTTTCAGAACTGATATCGTTAGTTTCACTAAACGCTCCGTATTCTGCAGGACGCCGTTGATTGTCCAGAGGCAAGCCATAACCTCATTAAGCTCTGTTCTAGCCAATTTTGAGACACTCTTAAAAAGGTCATTTTGAATGTCCTTGAGCAGGGTGTTGTGAGAAGTTGAGAGATATGGTAGAACACAACGGTAAATGACAACGACAGACCGAAATAAAATAAGATCGTCCGCATTAGAGAGATGTCCAATGTATGGATGGAGCGTTTCAAGTTGGTCCGGGGTAAACAACTTCGCATTAGCTTTTGCAAAAACCGTAATTGATTGTAACAGAGATTGCAATGTCCGCTTGTCGATGTTCTCTGATCCATGTACTATCCGGTCAAACATCGTCGATACAACAGCTTTGCAAACTGCAAAATTTGAAGACGCTGATTTTGATTCCGTAGATAGCTCATGCTTTATAAATGCCTCAAAAGCAGGAATGACGCACTCGTTTCCCCGCACAGTCCCAACAATAAGATCCATGAGATTCTCTAGGGTAACCTTTGATTGAGGTGTTGTTTGAACCGAGCCTGCGGAAGATGAGTGTAATGGGGAGAACCAGATATCTTCCAGCGCGAGGCGCGCTTGGCCAGCTACAGTAGTCTCAAAATCATTGACCCTCTGGAGCAGTTGTTCAATGATGGCCAGTTTCAGTTCGTGTGTAGATGTTTGCGGGTAGATATCCTTCATTAAGGTAATGCATCGTTTCCTAACGCCAACTGTTTGGTCTGAAGAAGAAGCTAAGATTGCACAGCAGCAATTTTCCTCTAGTGATGGCTTTAAAAACATGCATTTTGCAATCAAGCCTAAAGCTGAATCGCGAACCATTGGGGAAGAATCGGTTGCGGATCTAAGAATTAATGCCATGATCGATTCATCCCGATCCAGCAAGCCAGAGTCTCGCTCAAGCATCTGAATTACACTCTTCAAGCTTCGACTTCTTACTTTTGCTTGGTCACTGGTGATAGAACTAAGAAGGACCTTGACAATAGTATCAAACCCTTTGCAAAAGCCGCTGCTGAGAATTATTATAAAGTAGGCAAGCCGCGCTTGCTGTGTCGAGATTCGCTCAAAGATGCTAAAAGATGCCATTAGTTCCAAGATCGGTAAACGTAACTATCTCCCTCACCTGTTAGATTCCAGCCATTTTGGACCGGAAAGGATATGGTTTAAAGTCTTTGCCAACGTACGAACGCCTTGAGCATTTCCAGCACCGTTCTGCACTGATTCTTCATACCCGCTACAAACGATTTTCGCCCATTGAGCCACAAGGTAGCCTCTGGCACTGGAGAGCTGCCAGTCACCAAGATTTCTCTGCTCTAAAAATTCTAGAGCCATTCGATAGGGTCCATCTAAACCTATAATATCCTGTATATGGAGAGCTCTATTTGAATGCTCATCTAGCCAATACCGTAGCTGTTCGGTAAGGTCACCTTCTCCGTCCTCAATAGCATTGCTCAAATGTTGCGCGGCCGAAGTCAGGTCGGATATCGCGGAGCCCATCCAACCAAGTAATTCAAGCGACATATTCTTTGCATTTGCTGTGCTCTTGTCGTGATCTGCAATTGTAATCATCTGCGATGCAAGGACCCGTAAGATCAATTCTGCACCAGGCCAGTCAGTAGATCCCAGCACGGTTATCAAGTCCTCAGTAAAGAGGTCTAGAAGATTTCGATACGGTTGATCCCCAGTCTTTGTTGAAGTCATGGCCCTCTGGACAATAAATTTGGTTACATATTGTGCACTATGAATCGCATTGTCATAAAGTGGGTCGATTTGCTTCGAAAGTCGTTTGATTGCCGTTGTCTTATGTTTCTTTTCATCATCAGAGTCTTCCGTGTCAGCTTCTTCCTCGGAGCCATCGAGATCATCAGTACGGCTGATATTTGAAGATTTTTGCAAAGCGTTTTGATCTAATGTCGGCCTAGTCGAAAGTTGGAGAGCTGTCGTTTGGACAAGCTGGATCACCAATGCGGAGAGGAGTTGTATGCTTTTCCCATCAATGAGTTTGAATTGTCTTGCACTCTGTCTATTTGACGGAAGCTTTTCTAGAGATACCAAGATTTCATCGAGAATGAAAGGGCGCTGGTTTGGATATTTTGCAAAAATTTTTGCTAATACATCCATGGCAGCCCGTCTTGAAGCTTCATATTTTTGAACTCCTACTGCAGACTCCTTATCGTTAGGAGCATTCTCAACAAATATAAGCCTTGCAGCAAGAAATTCCATCGCGGTAATAGGCCCTTCGGCCAAATCGACATTGGAAAGGAAAGAAGCGAGCCTAGTCAACACCTTCTTCGTTTGGTGAATTACATTGGATATTATTTGCTTCTTGGAAGTGAAGACACTAAAAAGTGTAGAATCTTTTCCACTCGCTCTGCATTCTACCACAGGAATGATACAGTGATCAAAGATCTGGCCAAGGGACGTTGGGATGGCTTGGATAAGATCCTCAGGACACAGTCCTTTGGTACTTTGATTTCCAGACATTGTTTGTAGCAAGGTTGTGATTGCTAGCAATATGTTCTGAACGTCTTCTAGTCGGTGAACCCATCTTTCTGTTTCGGCGTCAGAAGGCGGGGATTCTAGTCTAAATTCTGCGGACTGAGCTACCATAATCGGAGCTTCGCAAATTTTTTGAATGCGCTTTATGTATTCTGACGGGACATCTTCAAGTCGTCGATAGTCGGTCACTTTTTGAAGCGCCTTTGACAGTTGTCCGTGAATATCAGAAGCTAACACAGGTCCTATTTCACTGATGCTATTGGGAGTTTTAAAAAATTTGTTGTTTAACAGAGCCTCTGGGGAATCATCTGGTAGAAGATGATCTTCCGCTTCAAATATTTCGTGCAAAAGGCTTTGGAGTTTGACCAATGCGGCATCTGAAACCTCCTTTTGGTCACGAAGCTGCACGGCATCTTGCCTTTCCTCCATCTGAGAGTCTATCTTTCGTCGCTTAGGAGAGCTGGGGTCCGCAATATATTGGACATCATCAATATTAGACGAAGGAGATAAACGTGGGATCAGGACAATTGGTTTTGGTAATTTTTTGGACTGCGGAGTAGATGAGAGAGAATTTTGACGACTGGAATCTTTGATTATGGGGGACAGAGGTTGAGAAGAGGAGGTAGGGATTGGGAAGCCCTTGGAGCGTCGAGGGTGCGGTTTGGAGCTGCAGGTGGTTGAGTCGGAACCTATCAAACTAAAGATTAGACATCGGGTGCAGAACCGTGAGAGCTGGATAACATACAGCAATATTTTACATCAGAAGAGTCGAGAACGAGCTTTGCAAACGGTCCAAGCTGACTGCGGCTTAAGGGTTGACTATCCTGTTTGGGAGGGGGGTCAGAGCGGAGAGTGGGAGGGATTTTGAAGTTACTGTGAATTGCGTTCGTAAGAACAGAGTCAAATAACACAATAGATAGAGGGCATACAATTTTGTCAGGCCATCATCCCTTAGCAGCTGCTGAAGATATTCCCTCGCCGTCTCTAACTGAGGGGATTCACCCATTCCTGTGCTTGCTTGTGTTTCATTGTCAAGGCTGTCAATCATTTTACCAGCAAGTTGATTATCATATGGACGAGGCCAGCTTGTGAATGATGGCCGGCCAACATCCGGGCGCATTATTGAATCTAGTGGAGTGAGCAGAAGCTTCATGGAGGAAAAGGTTCTGGGGGTATGCACCAAGTCCAAACACTGGAGCACTTGTCATAGGCGAGTACTGAAGCGCCTCATCCACAGAGAGCGGCCGAGGAAGCCTATGTGATGCACCAGAGCTGCTACCATGGTTTTGTATGACCACCTGCAGCGCCGGATGGCGATGCTGCTGTTGCTGTTGCATGACGGCAGGGTGGTTTGACCGCCGCAGACGGCGATAGGAATGAAGCACAACAACAGCGATTTCGCAGGGTTAGTGTTAGCATGGCGGTCTGGACGTTAGAAAGACTCGGGCTGTCTTCATGGTTGCAGTGCAATGGCTGTTTGGTTTCCGGTAGGGGGTGATCTCACAGTAGAAGCTCTGCCGCGCTAATTTCGCCATTTTCGTAACCTGCCAGGCAACCTAAACGCGCCTCAAGGGTGCGCATCCAGCTAACTAACTAGCCGCCGAGTTTTTTTTTTTTTTTTTTCAGTACTTTCAACATCTAGCCCACGGGCGAAAGCAGAACCTCTCCTCGCCAGCAGTCGACATGTCAGCGATCGGGTCGTTGATATTTTGTGCTGATTGCGGTAATTTGCTTAACGAATCGACAGGCGACGAGAACGCCATCCTGGTCTGCGACGTCTGTGGTGCTAAGAACCAAGGTCCGGCTTCACTTGCCTCTCACTTTTGCGTTCTACGATGATCATCTCTTGCGCGTGCTCTAACCTCACTATCTGCCTCTAGATGCACCCTCGAAAACAATTGTCTCGGAATCGAAACCTAATGCTTTCCCTTCTTCCCTCAGATCCAAACGGTCTGCTGTGCGAACTTTGACCGCCCAGGATAAAAGGAAAGATGCTGTCATTGAAAATACCTGCCCGGAGTGTGGTAGCCCGACTATGAGGTTCCACGCCTTGCAACTGCGCAGTGCTGACGAGGGAACAACCATTTTTTATTCGTGCGACTGCGGTTATAAGTAAGTGTCTTCGACCCAGTAGTCTCGCAGAGTAATGCGTAAGGAATTCTAATCTTTTATTTGCAATTACAGGTATAGTTCAAACAACTGATAAAAGAGATCGTCTAAATACAAATTCTATTGGCATCAAATAGTCAGGCAGCCACCTCCCTAAAAGGATAGATAGCAAAGTTATGCCGCTGCCACTGGTTCCGGCAATAAAGTGTACTCCTGATCGCCGCTCTTCTCATACTCTGCCATGTCGAGTGCGACAATGATACTATCCCTCACTACCTTCTCTGGGTCGTTCAAAAACCTTTTCAGCGTTTCTTCAACCCCCTCCTCGGCACCTAAACTTCCTAGAGCCTCCGCAGCCTCATGTCGAACCATACCAACCTCTTCTTTATCACTCAGCGTAGCAATAAGACTAGGGATACTGGCGGGGTGAGAAAGCTGGCCAAAAACAAATGCTATTTCATGTCGGAAGAGGGCGGAGCGGTCTTGAAAACCTTCAGCCAATGCTAATATTGCCGGGACTGCGGTGGGTAGATCGGGAGGAGAGGAAAGGTCGCGCAAGGCAAACATTGCGCGGTATCTCTTGAACAGTGGAAGGCTCGAGTCGAGGAGTGTCTGCTTCAGCTCCGGGATTGATCTCTCGTTGGAAAGCGGAAGCGGCGGGGCTGGGTCAATTGACGTGAAGTCACTGTATTTTTTTCTCTAGTCAGGACTTGTAGTAAATATGCCCATGCTTGGCTTTCTCACCTCTCCTTTAGTTCTTCACACTTGCTGGCCTTCGAGTTCTCCCACAGTATCCTGTCAACAGCAATATCGCAAGTTTCTCGAACAACCTCTTCCTCAGAGGCATCATCCCGCAGACGTTGAAGCATTTCTAAACTTCCAGAATCTCCAAGCGCCCCCAAGGCTTCTGCAGCTTCATGGCGGCACATCGCATCCTCCTCCCGGTCTTCTAACACTCTTCGAAGATGCGGGACAGCATCCAAATTTCTAGTCTGTCCTAGACAATATGCAAGTTCATGTTTAAGCAAGGCAGATGAAGAGGTGAACGCTGCAGAAATGGCCTCAATAGCTGGAATTGTTTCTTCCGTTGGTGGTTTCGATGAGGCAATATGTTTTAGAGAAAAAAGTGCGCGGAATCGCTGGGCGAGAGGGGAGGATTCGGACGTGATGATCTCTCGCAGATACTCGACAGTCTCTTTTGAGTCACCATTTCTCTGGATAGTATCAATAGTAGTTGCCTCCATCTCAAAGTCGGGATATAAACAAGCCGGATGAGCACACGTTGTGTTAGGATAAACTGGCCTCGTAGCATGCCATGTGTAGAGGGGCTTTTTTTAGTGGAGAGGATCTGATAAGATTTCGCGATAACATATGACTAATCACTCCGGAACGATATTTACCGAGAACAAAAAAACCCCAAGATGTACTCTTTAGAAGGAACTGGCTGGGATGCATACATTTCAGGTAGCAAGGTGGAGAGAAGGTATTCTCTGTTCGGCCTCTATTATACAGAAAAAAACTCGGACAACTCGTGATGATGGATACAGGCTCAATGTCGCCCAACGGGACAAGGAAAACAAAAACGAGGCTCACATGAAATATTTCGAAGTTGGCAGATAACTGGACCAATAAGATAGGAACCCACAGGATCACCGGCGCAGTTTGAATTGCGATCTAGGGCTTTATTTTGTCCTAATGTGCTTGAGCTTTTTGTGCGTATGCAAGAAGTTGTTCGCATAAGCCTTCGGGTGAAAAGCACGTTCATTTGGTTCCTGAACGTAGTATTCATATCCTTGTTTCTCAGCAAAACGGATTGCGTCCTCTTTGGATTTGAAATTCATGTGTGTCCCTTGCATTCCATCGGCAGACGATTGCCATCCCATCAGCGGATTTTCCCAGCGATGGCCCTTAGACAAAATGTCCCAGTCCATTCTCCAGTGGTGATTGTGCCAGGTGCCAGACTGAGTGGCCGGCTTTGAAGGACGGTAAATTCTGTTCAAGATTAGTTGCTATGTCGAAGAAATGGCGGAGTAATGGATACCTGACTGTTCGGGCCTGAAGGTCCGTAGGAGCGCCAGACAAAACAGCTGCAGCAACTACATCTCCAGGTTCGCTCCCATCCATAACGCGTTTTGGGACTGGGGAGAATGTGCTGCATTATCTATTTAGTCCGTAAAAGCCAACTTTCGGGGCAGCAACACTGACGAGGTAGCTTGGTCAACAGTTGCATTATAGTCTGGTTGATGCCGGGCCATAGCCTCAGATGGCGATTCCCTCCGGATTACAGAATCTCCTCTTGATATGGCGGTTGGGGCATCTTCGGGAGTAGTCGTTGGAACCTTCTCATCTGCCTGTCTGGTCGCGGAAGAGCTGAGCTGACGAGCATTGGAAAAGTGTGCAAATCTAACTGCCCGGGTGCAGTTCACTCCTAGGGCGCATATCCTCCCTGGCCGTAATAATGACATTGTTATTGTTGAATGATGAATAGCAGTAATGTCGTGCTGAGAAAGTGGGCGTTCATATCATGGGCTGGGCGTGGGGATCCAAATCAGGTTAGCGCCGCAATACCCACGCATCTTCGTTCCGATACATAAACCCAACACCGAACCTAACTTCGATCCAATCTTCCCAAGGGTTTTTCTGTCTGGCTCTCTTACCACAGTATCAGCAGGTAGGCCTCGAATGTGTACTTTTATGCCCACAACTCCGTTACTAATTGGTTTGGAACCCAGATTTTTCGCCATGAGCTACATCGTTCGTCGAGGGTTGTCCACCCTCATTCCTCCAAAGGTATACTTGCACTGTTCTCAGTTTAACAGTCGTCGTTTAATGTTTCTAACCTCTCCATTAGATTGCGTCTCCCTCCGTATGTCGTGCAAGCTACCCCTTATGATTGATTTCCAAGCTCGAACCCGCTCTCGCATTTGACTAATTCTCCCATAAGGCAATTGGGGCTGCAAAAGATGCTGCTCGCATGGAACGGGTCGGCAACTTCTACGGAAAACTCCCACGGGGCCCAGCGCCTGAAGTCAAACCCAGTGGTTTCTTCGCGCGCTATCATGCTAAACATTTCGGCAAAACCCCCACCGCAAAGCGTATGTTATTGTGCTTCAACCCAAAATAATATATGTTCAAGAGCTTTGATTCTATTATTCCAAGACCTTAAGCTGACTTGTATTGGCATAGCACTTGTGCACCTCATTATCGTAATGACACTCTTAGGCTATAGTATCCAATATGTTACACACCTCCGTATGTACAGGACTTTCCCCTTATATCAATGACTTTACCTAACCCTTATAGGCCACCACAAGAACAATGCACACTAGTTTTCCTATTTACACTTTTTTAAGTAGTTGGTAGAAATGTGTAAATATGTCATAGAATCATATTGCTTCTGATGTTATTTTTTTTTCCCCTGCAACTTAAGGGGCTAATATAGCTACACTGCGAGAAAGACGCATTTCTAGTAATTTTGTTCTTTATGAAAGTATTCTTAGTTTATGCTGAAAGCTTGCTACATCCAGCAATCTCACCGCAGCTTAGGAGTTGTTTAACTTTGTGAGAGTTTGATACAATCATGTGCAGCTCCAACTCAGTTGGAACTTTGCCGCTAGCCGCATCGAGACAACTAGCTTGGCCACACGTCTACCATTCAACCACTCTTCCCTTACTCAACTTCTTTTCTACTAACTTTCTTAAGACAGCGGACAGCCCTACCGCGCTGCTGAGGCATTTCTTTCAATTTGTTTTCTTGCCTGGATTGCATTTTTAGTGCCATCCTTGATTGTGCGATCGCCCCAACGTCAAGCTCCCTGCCGCGTCAAGCCCTCGACTCAGGGCTGATTGGACTCAGTCTCGTGCTCCATCGTGGCGGTCTATAGTTTCTGATCAGAAGTATGTCCCGACCTGTTGACTATATCTGTAGATTCTCACAGATATACGCTCTCTGGACTTTGACTACTGCCCTTCAGGTGGATATTCCTGCAGGCTGACCAAACTTGTTTACAGCTAGAGAACATTGTTATGGCAGAGCAGAGTAGCCACGATGTGGTAAACCAAACCCGGTCGGGTGGCGACCTTTCGCCCTCCGACGTTCCTGCGAGCAAACCCGACAAATGCATTTCTGGAGGGGATGAGGTGGATGTTCAGACTCATATTAATAACGACCAGAGACAACAAAACACAGTTACAACGACGCAGGACATTCCGGATGGTAATAGTATGTCTAGACTTGTTTACTTGGTTGTTGGCGGCTATCTGGGATATAATGCTGTGAGATACTCAGTGGACCAGTCTTGCGAGCAATGATGTCACTAACGACAGGGTTAGAACATTTTTTGTAGAAATCACAACACAAGATACATCGATAGTGACTTCGAAACGCCTTGAAATGAATGGGATAGAACCGGCTGCTTTATCTACAGATGATACTACAATAAGTCATTTGGGTGACGGGGGATCAGATACAGACGCTAGCCGCAGCGACATACGGTCATCAAAAGACAGCGCACAGCACTCTCGCACAAGCTCCGTCAAGCGGCCGGCATCCTTCAAGCCAGTATCCTTTGCGAAATTCTCCATAACTAAATCGCCCAGTACAATTCCTAAATCTACTGTTGAGCAAGGTCTGACCGTGCTGTCGTCGCTTCCAAAGGTCGATACTGCGAGACTAACACCTCCATAGCTCCTTTCTCTACTTCGAACACATCAAGTGTACCTGCACAGCAAACCTCAAGGCCCCGCCTAGTTGCCAAAACAACGAGTGGCCTGAGCAATTCAGCCCCAAGGTCCTTGGGCAGTGGCACTAGGATCGGGTCTTCAAGCCCTGATCCTAGCCAAGTATGGAATAAAAATCGACGTAAGAAATTTCAAAATACAAATATACTTTATTTTGCGGAATGTCATTAATACCTGCCACTCTAGCCGCCCAACCGCCACCTACAAAGCATCTTACGGACGAAGAGTTGAAGCAGCAATATGGCATTCATATGACCTCTCGCATCCAGGCGGATGGCGATGGGAAAGAGTCTAAATGGGCTGATATCGATGATGACGAGGACGATTGGGCCCCGGAAACAATTGAATGGAATGATGGAACCAAGATTTCTTTGACTCAAACTGAGCCTCAAAGCCAGACAAAAAACCAAACTTCCGGCATATCATCGGGGCACCTAGTATCAACATCGGAAAAGGCTCTAGGTAGCAGTGACGCCAAGGCTCCCATTTCGAAAATTGGCTCCCTAGGCCCAAAAGCCGCAATTCTGAAACTCGGAGGAGGTGCCGATAAGCATTCGAAGCTAGCCGGCGATTTAAATGGGGAGAAAGAAGGACAATCCTCCAGGTCTCATGCAGCAAAATCTCCGTGGGCCCCATTACCTCCTGTTGACAAAATTCCTCCAGTATCGGTAAACCCACCTGTTCCACCATCGCGATCCTCACGCTTTTTCCAAGGGGAACGCAATACTTTGGAAAACACAGTCCCAGCAGCACTTCCTGCCAAAGAGATTGCTGTGGATGATTTTAACCGCTCTTGGCGAGACACACAAGCAAGTGCCCCTCGAGAGCTGTTCAACTCCCAATCTGGTCGATATGAGCCCGTATCGGAAACTCGTCGGGGTCAGCATCGGCATGATCAGCAATTCCGACCATCTTCGCTGTTGCAGAGACCAAACCATATCGAGCAGCTCGGACCGGCTGAGCCATCTCCCGCTTTCCAGACGAATCGGTCAAGCTTTTCTCAGGAGCCTGGTCCATGGAGCCGGCGCCGTGCCTCATCTAATGTTAGTGGAGGAAGTGGAGTTATGGGCCGAAGGTTGTCTATGAGCAAAGCAGATTCTAACCATACTAATCCCAATCTTCCGCCGCCACGCCGCGGCTCTCAACATGAGCGATCTACCTCGCCCCGTAGGCCTTACCAGAAAGGCACATTCCCCGCGAGAGGGCCTTCTCCCTCTGGCCAACCTAGTCAACATATTTCAAGCCAGCCGGTGCCAGGTCCTTTTACGCCCAATACGAATGACGGAGTTCCTCCGCCCCCTATCGATGCCCCGGCTGTTCACGGACCTCCTACGGAGGACACCATTGCAATGCAACAGCGTATTATGCGTGAGAAGCGCGAGATGGCGAGGCAACGTAGACTTGATGAGGAGGCCAAAGAAGAGGCTGCAAAACAAGAGCGAATCCGCTTGAAGCTGGAAGCAATGGGACCACCACCAACGGAAAAGAGCAATTCGAAAGAGCCCACATCTACTACAGATTCCATCAAGCAGTCTATAGTGGCTCTGTCACCACCAAAGCCTCCTGTTCCGGAGCCTAGTGGTGAGCCAAAGCAATATGGAATGATGAAGCTTCATCCCCCGGAACCCGTAAAGAAACTGGTGAAAAATGAGAAGGATTCAAAAGCGGCCTCTGGCCCTCAAGTTCATCTGTCACCATCGTTAAAAGAACAGAAACTGGACTCAAGCAGGCCCAATGCACCACCTTCTATGAATGGGGTTCGTCTTGCAGCTGATAAAACCTCCAGTCAGATGTCAGAGCATCAGCAGGGCGCTTCTGAGAAAAGCCTCTCGTGGAAAGGCTCTATACCTACTACTGCTTCGTATTCCTCGTGGTCTGGGACAAAGATCGGCGGCCACGCATCTGGTGCCAATCTCTGGGGGCCACTAAATAACGATAGGGCCTTAGGAAATGGCACTTTTGACAGGAATCTCACCGGATTTCCTCCCAGAGATATCCCGCCTCATCCATCACTTAAGTTATCTGACCAACCTCCCATCGGTCCTTTAGCACCTACTGCGGAAAGATCTGGAGTGCCGGAAACTGCGCACCAGCATACTCATAGCCACGCCAAGGGTTTGATTGATAGCGGCACCTCAATGTCTCCCTTGCCATCTCCTGAGCAACGCGGAAGTTGTTTGGCAACAGCGGAAACCGTCAGACCTATTTCTCGGCCAGGACCGATTGCCCCACCCAGTTCTTATTCTCAAGGCCAAAAATGGCAGCAGAATCAATTCCCGCCTCGCTCGGAACAAACTTCTGCTTGGAATAACTTTCATATAACTGCCAGAAAGAGCGAATCAGAAGAAAATGAACGTTATCATCGAGACCTACAATCTCGGTTAGATGAAGAAGCGAGAAGTGGTATCAAACCGACATTAGACATTGCGTTCAAGGAAACTTGGCGACAGGTGAAAGTTGGTGACGAGCCTGGACAGCGCCATATTGTGTCCGTGATTAAAACTGGCGACAAAAATCAACCACCTTCCTTACATAATGGTGAAACTTCTGCACCCGATGGCTTAACATTTTCCGAGTCGAACGCCAAATTTGTTGGAACAACGGCGCGGGGATCCCGATTTTTCCCCCATGGCTCCGATCACAAGAGGCCACCGCCCTCAGACCGAGAGAATTCCGAGGGTCGATGCCCTTCACCTCCACCACCCGAGGAAATATCCAGTCATCCTGTGTTTACAATTAGCTCTCCCCGGCCTCTAGTGCACCTACCTACGCCAAAACCTCGCGTTCGACTTCCCCCTCGTAGCTCGTCACCATCAGCAGCTCCTCAGACCACATTTGCAGCAATGGTATCGACTGGCCCGCCGCCCCCTCGGGGTTCGCAACCAATTGCAAGCACTGCAACCTGGCAGGATCGGTTTAACGGATTGTTTGGGAAGAAAACCGCTCCAACGCCTCCACTTTCCCAACCAAAGAAGAACGCCTTCACTGTTACCTCAGCATCCAAAGAACCTCTCGATGTTTTGTCCAATGCCACTCCCGCAGCAGTTTCTCTTCCCCAAGTTGATGAGATGGATGCCGTACGGAGTTCAGGAAATGTAGTTTCGAAGGAAGTCGAGGATGAAGAGGCGATATTTGAGGATCGGGAGGCCGGTTCTCTCCCCGTTGTCAAAGTCCCATATGTGGCGCCTAGGGCGGCTTGGCAGCCTGCATTGCCTCCTTCCCAGCAGCGTTTCCGTTCTCGGCTTCAAAGACCTGTTCAAACCCAAACCATCGAGCCTTACGCTTTCCGCCCTTCTGACAAAGACAATAATTCAATCCCAGTAGTAATCAATCTACCTGGATGCAATGTTTCGAAAACGCTTACCTTGTGTTCTAAGAGTACTGTACCTGGCAGTCAGGGCCAGCAACGACAACGATCACAGAATTTTAAACATCGCAAAGGCGCGAAGCCTCGAGAAAGTTCTGGGTCTCAAAATACGTCTCTTACCTCTAAGAAGTTGTCATCTCCAGCTAATTCCACGTCTGGCTCTCTGCGCCCACACTCTGGGCATAATAATTGGGCTTCTCGTGTTGCAGGTACTGCCACCTGAAGGCATGCCGTACTAAACCGAGATATCAAGCCTGCACCTGATTTCACGGCCAGGCCAGTTCACGTATGCATTCTTAATTGGTGAAAGCTAGAACTTTTTTCGGGGATTTATCCAGCATTGTTTGGTCCATGTTCGAGCACTTACCATTGGTTCTATCGCTCATTCTCCTACTACGTCTCGCAGTCTGTATGTTCCACCTTGATAATTCTTACACTCTTAAGACACGTACCCTCGGCAGTCACTATAGTTTTGCGCTTTTGACCTTCGTGAAATCCGTGATATTGCCATTTTCTATTCTGGAAAGCCCCAGTCCCTTCGGATCTCTGTAAGGCCAACTGTAATCATAAGTCTTGGTTTTCATGTGCATCGTTTGCCGTAGTTTGACCGTTATCTCCCTCGATTCCTGCCCCCCAATTTTCAAAATGGCATTGTTGATACATTACGCAATGATGTTCACCCTCAACAATCATATGGTCGCCACTTATAGCATTAGCATAATGGTGGTCTTTTGGGCCTTGAATGGAATTTCTGGAGTGATGGACGTTGGGACGCCTTTGCTATTCTTTTTTCTCTTTATGTAACAAAGAAATGGAAATATTTATTATTCATTGCGTTTCATTATTTCATGTAGTTAACTATACCTACCATATGGGGCGTGCCCTGATTGAAAGTCATAAACATATTTAATTTTTTGCCACCAAATTTAGATAGCCTCTTCTAGCATCAGCTAGGATTGCGATGAAAAACACGAATATAAGAATTGGTATAATCTGTAGTTGTACACAACACCAACGCCACACGCCTAGTATAGAGCTGCCGTTTCAACCAAAGACCACAAGGAAATATCTATGCTGGAATTAAAAGGAAATCAAACTATGGGGCGAGAGGCGGAATGGCTGTGGATTTCTACCAATTCCATGTCCGACTCAATGCAGTAAAGACGGGCGGCTTCCACTGGAGGCGTGCAGAATCAATGCCACGGACACCTTTAGCTTGTTCTTTTGCCAAGCGTTTGTTATGCTGGTCGACAATGGCATCCGTGAGGAGGATGATCCAAGAGCCTTTCTGCATGCAAGCTTAGTATGTGCAGAATCAAAACGCATACATGGCAAAGATGTACTTACAGTATATCTCAGGAGGTTCAGTACAACCAATGTTTCATGAACGTCTTTTTCGGTCATCCCACTCAAGGTTGCCAGCTCGCTTTCACTGATCGCTTCGCGGTCCGGATCTAGGAGGAGCTCAACCAGCGTTTCTCTCCAGTACTGCCGATAGCTTAGCAGGCCAAGGTCGCTTAATGGTTTTTCGGGGGAGCCCAGCTTGCCCTCTCGTTTACTCAGTTCGTAGCTAAACGCAATGAGCAGGCGACCGTAGCCGCGGCGTTGGTATTGAGGCAATGTAAGAATACAGGCGACGTTATAGCCTTCAGCTGACTCTTTTTCTTTGGAAAAATATCCAACCAAACGGCACCCGTGTTCATCTCTTGTAGCCATGCAGTAAAAAAGGAACGGATCGACGTCATAGTAGAGCGTTTTATGGTCAAGGAATAATTTACTTAACAAGCATAGGTTCCGACACCAGGTCCGCTGTCGGCGACCATCGACCTCGAAAAAAGATACGTAGTCATCTCGATATATCTCGTTTCCCGGTGGATGGACAAGTGTACATTTCGTCCGGTGCCTTTCGAACGCACGTTGATTGTCGAAGTAGCTAAGGCAAAACTCATCGATATAGATCATATCCGCATCACTAAATGAAGCCGGGTATGGCGAGAAATACCATGGCTCTATCTCGTACTTACCCATTTGTATACGGGTGAGGTTTCGTACTCGATGAATTTCTGTAGGGTTCTGTGTCATGCTACCGCCTGTTCTCAGTTTCTCGATTTCTTCCTGTCGAACGGCATCCTCAGCTGCTCCTTCTAGCTCTTCCTTGATGGTAGCGTTAATCTCGGCATCCGCATCAATCATATCCACATCATCAGAATCTGCTTCTAGTTGGGGAGTGCCACCTGTAGACAGCAGTTCGTTGAGTTGCTGGGGGTTAACAAAGGCTGCTCCATCGTCCAAGTTCTCCTTGCCACCAGCCTTGGAAAGTTTAGATGGCTTGCTGATATTGAGATTTTTTCCAGCTAAAACATCCGGGGTTGACGAAATATCACGGCTTGGCTGCCGTACTCTTTTCAATGCGCTCTTGGGTTGGGTTTTGGTGGCAGCAGCGCCTGTGACCTTTTTCTTTTCCAAGCGTTCAGGAAGCGGCCATTCTACTTCCTTGGATAGATCAATGCGCGATGCGGGTATCCACTCTACGTTTGTGGTCAGTAACCACGGTCTAAATGGCAGGGGTATAAGTCTTCTCGCAGTACACACCGTCCAGTCGCTTATTGAAATCAACATAGTGCACGCTTTCTGGGCGTCAGTGCAAAATTAAAGGCGAACAGGGGATCCAGTGACATACTAGAAACTGGGACCATCCTTGCGCTGCCTCATGGACAGGATCTCGGCCTTGCGATGCCCGCCATCCTGATATTGTCTGTCAGTGGCGCGTGGTCACGTGAGGGTCACTGTGGCAGGCAATCGCCAGCAAAATGTTTGTCTTACCTTTTCCACGAATGCCTTCACGCCGATTCTGGTCAAGCAAAAGATCAGTAAAAAGTGATATTTCAGCCCGTCGGCCAGCATGAGGCAAGCAGAAAGTTACCTGAGTGTGTTCAGCGTCGCTAGGCTCTTTTCAACCACGTCAGGCGTGCTCGAGGCGTCTTGCGAGGGATCCGTGACTCCCATGATGTTCGCCGGAGCGAGTTTTACGGAAATACTTTCAGACCAGGGATGGAAGACGCTGCTGGGGTGATGCTTTGATGAATTTCGGTCTCTGGTGGCGGAGCGACGTTGCGTTTCACGATGGCTTTTTCACGGCTGCGAATCGCTGGTTTTGCCTCGCATTGCCACTCACCCCAGCGTCATCCGCGACTATGGCTAATTACGACGGCCCTCTGAACACGCACGCCCCTTGACAGATCTTCATGCCCATTTATCTACTCCGTATATCGTAGTTGTAACCAGAGTTCACCGCGCCAACCTACCAACTCTCAGAGAGAATCCAGCTCCTCCCTGCGCTTCCGATACACTTCCTGGGCTTCGCGCTCTCGCCGGGTCACGAAGGTGACTTCTTCACGGAGGCTTTCTACCCGTCTCGTCACAGCAGATTCCTCTCCAATCTGCAATGTTTTGAACGAATCCAAATCGATCTTTGCCTTTTGCAGCGCCTCGTCTGCCTGTAATACCTTAGTCCTCAGCATCTTTGCTCTGGCTTGATACCCGCCATAATGTAATGCCACCTTTTTCTCCATTTTGTTTCCCTGGACGGCAGTCTGGATTAAGATGTTCTGAATGTTATCAAATGCTGCGCGCATGCTTTTTTCTTGTGTGTCCAAGTCATCGTCGACGTACTGCGATAATCCCGGAAGTGCAGAAGACGACTCGTAGCGCGATATCCATGACGCATCGAACCCATCTTGCCATTGCTTTAGATGTTCCCGCGATATCTCCTCTTCAATTTCGACTCTAGCCCAAGCTATGAGGTCGTCACTCGGTGAATCCTTCATTGATACTTTATCTTGCATCCGGGTACTTGGTAATGGAAAGTTATGGGCGTCATGCGCAACTAGAGTAGCCATCTCCGCTGAAATAACCATCGTTATCTGGTCGTCCCCCCCCTTCGCTTGTGATACGAGTGACATCAGATCTACGGCGCGGGGTCGAGGAAGACCACGTTGGTAAACTTGACTCTGCCTCTTAAAATCTGCCTTCGCTTTCTTTTCAGCGGCGATCTTATCCCTTTTATCCTGTTCCGCTGCATCTTCTTCCGTAAGTTTATCCGCTACTTTTGGCTCCTGCTGCTCGGAGGGTAGTTCTTCCAGCTCCCATTCCGTCTCTTTGGCATTAGGGAGAGACTTGAGTTGTTCACGAAGTTGCTGGCGCATAAAATTTTCCTTCAATTTCACCTCTCTAGGAGTGCTCCCAACAGGAAGACCTGTGTCCTTATTGATCATAAAATTATCCCTTGGAGTACGTAGTGGGGTAGCCCCGGGGCCCATCCTTGCTGGCGTTGCTCCTATAGAACCAGGCTGACGGAAAGGTGTTGCCATAGGATTTGGGGTGACCATCTGTTGTTTTCGTGGTGCAATTCCTTCAAACCCAGTAGACCCTCCGCCCTCGTGTAAAGGAGTGTTTTCTCCACCTAGAAGAGATGACTGTGTCTCAGTTAAAGCCCGGATATTTCGGATTTCATTTGCGATGCGATCTTCTTCCGGGGCTGCTCTAGGAGTTCGGATCGGGGTGCCGCCAATTATTGTGGAATATTTTGCCACCAGCCCTCGTGGACCATCAGCCTCATCATCTCCTACTATCCTGCTAGCGCGATCCCCTGCCATACCCATTTTCACGATTTCCTCAAGTTCAGTCTCGCTGACCTGAGGCGCAGGGAGAACGAGAGAGCGACGCTTGCTGCTCTGTTCAGCTTCCCTAATGCGTTGCATCTGGCCAGCTCTGGCAGCAGCAGCAAACGCGGCGCTTGATCCATTTTTGTCATTCTTTTGGCGCTTCTTATCTTGGTCTTCCTCCTGGTCCCCTTTTCTTTTGTTAGCCAATTGCTGCTTTCTCGGATCAAAAAGTTCCCGCTGCCTCTCATTTCGGGCCTTTTCATCCAGCGTATCATAAAATCCAGGTGCAGGCTGCTTTTCGAATGGAATATCGGCGTTATAGTCCATTTGACCCTTCTTCGTCGTAACAACTTTAATATTAATTCCTGCATTCTTAAGCTCTCTTCTTTTTTGTAAAACCGCCAGTCTCCGCGATTCCTCTAGCTGCCGTTCTCTGGCCTTGCGTTTGGCCTTTTTACCCTGAGTGTTTGCGAGACGCGCACGTGCTTCACTAAGCATTTCTTTTTCATCTTCGTCGAGGTCAATAGTATCCGGTCGCGCGGGTTTGGATTCAGGATCAGGATCTAGCTCTCCCGGCCTATAACAAATGTCAAAATGGCGGGCCAGAGTACGAAAAAAATGGCAGTGCTGACATACCGTAATCTTCGAACATCATCAGCACTAGGAGCAGCTGTCTCACCGCCAGCTGGTCCTCCAAGCCCTAACTCATCGGACTCTCGAGCCTCTGCTTCATCCAACAGCTTCTGATACCTTTCTAGGCATTGTGTAGCAGTTCTTCCAACGATAGGTGCAATTGTTCTCCATTGTGTGGGCATCAACTTTGCAAGATGTAACAACTTTTCATCTTCTTCCTTTGACCATTCGACCTTACGAATAGCAGGATCTAGCCATTCCGACCACCGCGCCTTACATTGCTTTGGGGTCTTGCGCGCAAGAAGAGAAGAGACTCGAGCCCACTGGTTCAATCCATACTTGGAGACAGATACCTTGACAATCTCGTCCTCGATATTCGTCCTGTAGAAGGTACCCCCGTTAGCAAAATGTATCTTAATGAAGTTGAAAGAATTTTCATACCAAACTCCTCCTTTAACAACGGGCATTTTGTCAGATCGCTAACTGGTAGAAATGGAGCTTCATCTGATGGGGTTGAGTTTTGGAGTCGCGTTAGGAGAAGGGCGGAAGTCTTGCGTGTGTTTTAGTCCAGAGACGCCTTGGCACAACCTAACCGCCACGCACTACTCCATAAAAAAACGGAAAATTGCAGAGAGCAAGAAATCAAAGCAAAGCACCAGTTGACGAACGCTACAAGCGCAAGAAAGAAAGATGGCTGCGAGTATTACAGCACCTCAGCAATATAGTCAACCCTCACGGAAGGGTAAAAAAGCTTGGAGAAAGAATGTGGATGTATCCGAAGTTCATGAGGGGCTCCAGCAACTCCGAGAAGAACAAATTCAAGGGTACGTAAGACCATGGCATATTGCGAGTTAGGGCTTCTTTGTGTCTAAGATTCTTGATAGCGGTGTTCTTGCAGAGAAACCATCTGAAGATCTTTTCATCGTTGATAAAGTCGGATCAAGACAACTGGAAAAACGCCTTGTAAACCCTGGCAGGCTTCTCAAAGCTGACGAAATTCTGGGTTTACGCTCTGCTATCCCAGCAGTCGATAGCCGCAAAAGATCAAGCTCTAATGTTACAGATGGAATACTAGCGCCGAAGACCAAGCGAGTGAGAAGCGATTGGGTGAGCCGGGAAGAATGGCTACGGCTTAAGAAAATCGCGGCAGAGGCGAACCCTTTGAATAAAGAAGTTGAGCCGAGCGCATTGCACGACCCGTGGGCAGAGCCGTCCAATGCATCTCCTTCTAATGATACGAAATTCGATTTCATACCAAAGCCAAAACCCATAGTGGCACCGCCAACGATAAAACATCCCCCGATTCCACTCACTGCGAATGGAAAACCCGCACCCTCTGTAAGGAATCCTAATGCTGGAATAAGCTACAACCCTTCGTTCGAAGATTGGGATAAACTATTCGCCGAAGAAGGGCAAAGAGAGGTAGAGGCGGAAAAGAAACGCTTAGAAGAGGCGAGATTAGAGCAAGAAAGGCAAGCCAGAATTGCAATGGTAAAGGATGGTGGTGATACAGTTAGATCTGACGACGAAAGTGCTTGGGAAGGCTTCGAAAGTGAATATGAGACGGCCGAAACATTGAAGAAGAAGAGGCCAGAAAGAAAGACCAAAGCCCAAAGGAACAGAATCAAACGGAGGAAAGAGGCTGAGAGGAAAGCGAAATGGGAAGCGAAACTGAAAAGAAGAGAGGAGCAGGCCGCCCAGATCAAAATGATCATGAAGAAGATGTCAGAAAAAGAGAAGGCTAAGCTACTTCAGAAAAGTTCAGATAATATTTCGGAAGAAGGGGATGATCGTGCCTTGAGAAGAAGGCCCCTTGGCGGTAAACATATGTATGTTTTTCTACTCTCTGTATACCCGCCTGGCTCGTTTACTAATTGCGTCACAGGGTCCCCGAGAAGCCTCTTGAATTAGTGCTGCCCGATGAGCTTCAAGACTCGCTAAGACTTCTTAGACCGGAAGGAAATTTGTTGGACGATCGATTTCGAAACTTACTGGTGCAAGGGAAACTTGAAGCTCGCAAACCTGTGTCTCAGCCGAGAAAAGCGAAGCGAACTTTTACAGAGAAATGGTCATATAAGGACTTTAAAATCAAACCCTGAATCGGGATACATGTATGGGGTATATATGACTCGAGAGATTTGATCCGATTAGACTAGACAGTATCTGATTTAAAATACCGTCTACTGTTCAAACCTGAATTCCTTCTCTTATACTCCGTACTAAATATGACTATGGAATAACAGTACTCTGCTCGGAGTACTCCGTACTCCGTAGCTCATTCAAATTATGAGGATAGTAAGTTATGTTTGCACTGTTTGCTAGTTAGTTAAACTTAGTTATCACCGACCCGCGTTACGAAGTTATAACTTGCCAAGCCCTGATAACCCGGTTATCACGGCGCCTCCCCTAACAAACCCATTCAGTATAACTCGGTTATCAGCCAGCTTGGCGGCATGAGTTAGAGTTCGTGTTATATGGGGCCCCTGTACGGTGATTGGCAGGCTGTAGAATTACTATGCCAAAACAGTACACGCGCAGGCAGGCTGGTAGCTTAGTAATTAGAGAGCTTAGTAATTACACAGCTGATTACACAGCGCGCAGGCTGGTTACTAAGCTCCGGCGCGCGTAA